AAACAAAAATCCTCCCCAGCTTCAGTAACTAACAGTTCCTCAGTTTTACACAGAGGGCTTGAGAAATGCAAGAAAATAGTAAACTAGCTTGAGGGTGTGTGTGTTCTCTATAAGGAGGGATTTAAAAATAACCCTGAAAGTTTCTCTTCTACCCCCAACATCCCTCCCCCTGCAGGCATCCCCCTCCTCCTTAATGGTCACCCAGCTTTGTGGAGACAGGGAGAATGTTGTAAGAAAGGACCACGTCTGCCTGTGTGTCTTGTGCTGTGTGTCTCGCTTTCCTTCCCCACAGTAACAAAATATGTCTGCTTCTGATCTTCATCTTGTTTTGCTCTCTCCACCCCCCACCCATGTGCACACTAATTTTGGGAAAGGCAGGCTGGGGCTGCCATGTGGAGTGTGTCAGCTTGGCCCTGTAAAGCAGTGGTGTTGCTTGGGATCCCATCGACACATGCGCTTCCACTTATACATGCGTCAAAAAGGGTGGAATGGGGTGGGGTGGGGACAGTAGAGGGAAATTCCTGTAACGGAACCCCAGGGTAAGTGGCTCCCACAGGGGAGCTGCAGAAAGAATGAGGTTGGTCAAGGGAGCCATGGACTCAGAAAGGCTGAAAACCTCTGCCTCAGAAATTGTAGGCACTGTAGCTACAGTTCCTTGCATTCTACCCCTACAAATGACAGTGTGCAGAATTCTTTTTTTGGCGGTGTGTGTGTCTGTGTGCTTTGAAGGTGCTTTTTAGGGTAGTGTGTGTTCACAGCCTGAGTGAGGAAAGCTTTGGAGCACATTTTATGTAGGGAAAGCGAAAAGGGATTGTGCTGCTTTAGCTTGCATGAAAAAAGTGCTAGGAGACAGCACAGAGGAAAGAGGGAGGACCGCTGAGAGGAGGAGGACACAGAGAAGCAGCAGGTACACATTTCAGCCAAGGTGTTTCCTGCATGTTTCTTTGGGAGCTGTCTGGTATACAAATGTGTCCATACCGCATTGTTCCGCCCACAGGCTTGGTGACTAGTATGGAGTGCAAGACAGCTGCGCAGTCTCTGGAGGTGACTACCTATTATCACCTCTTAAAACTTTACACAGATCTTTATTTGAATGCTTCTTGGTATTTCCCTTCCTCCCTGCAATCAATTGAACTCATCTGGTAGGGCAGTGAACAAATGTCAATCTCACCTTCCTATAAAATCCAAGTGTCTTCTGAAATGTTTTTTGGGGGGTGGGGGGCTGAGGTTACAAATGGCTGTCTTCACATTTACAGCAGCCGCCTCTGGAATCAGTGCTAGATGTTAAAGGTGTGGTAGCGGAAGAGGAAACTGTATTCCCGTATGTGAGGAACGGCATCCTGGAGAGTCTCCTCCTGGGCTAGAGCTGGGTGCCCAATTCACTTTGGTATGTATCCGGTCTCCTGATACAGTGCTGCTGGCTTCTGCTTCACGGGCGGCCCACTGGGAGGCTGGGTGAACAGACTGAAACTGCCTTGGTCGCGCTGGTTGATGATCTCCGGCGAGCTAGTGACAAAGGTGAGAGTTGTTTCCTAGTTCTGCTGGATCTCTCAGCGGCCTTTGATACAATCAACCATAACATCCTTCTGGACCGTCTAGAGGGGCTGGGAGCTGGGGGCACTGTTATACAGTGGTTCCGCTCCTTCCTCCTGGGCCGTGTTCAGAAAGTGGTGGGGGGGGATGAGTGTTCAGACCCCTGGGCCCTCACTTGTGGGGTGCCTCAGGGTTCAGTCCTCTCCCCCATGCCTTTTAACATCTATATGAAGCCGCTGGGAGAGATCATCAGGGGATTTGGGCTGGGTGTTCATCAGTATGCGGATGATACCCAGCTCTCTCTTTCAAATCAGAACCAGTGAAGGTCCTGTGTGAGTGCCTGGAGGCGGTTGGAGGATGGATGGCGGCTAATGGATTGAGGTTGAATCCTGACGAGACAGAAGTACTGTTTTTGGGGGACAGGGGGCAGGCTGGTGTGGAGGACCCCCTGGTCCTGAATAGGGTAACTTTGCCCCCGAAGGACCAGGTGCGCAGCCTGGGAGTCATTTTGGACTCACAGCTGTCCATGGAGGTGCAGGTCAATTCTGTATCCAGGGCAGCTGTCTACCAGCTCCACCTGGTACGCAGGCTGAGACCCTACCTGCCCGCGGACTGTCTCACCAGAGTGGTGCATGCTCTAGTTATCTCCCGCTTGGACTACTGCAATGCGCTCTACGTGGGGCTACCTTTGAAGGTGACCCGGAAACTACAACTAATCCAGAATGCGGCAGCTAGACTGGTGACTGGGGGTGGCCGCCGAGACCACATAACACCGGTCTTGAAAGACCTACATTGGCTCCCAGTACGTTTCCGAGCACAAGTCAAAGTGCTGGTGTTGACCTTTAAAGCCCTAAACGGCCTCGGCCCAGTATACCTGAAGGAGCGTCTCCGCCCCCATCGTTCTGCCCGGATGCTGAGGTCCAGCGCCGAGGGCCTTCTGGCGGTTCCCTCATTGCGAGAAGCAAAGCTACAGGGAACCAGGCAGAGGGCCTTCTCGGTAGTGGCGCCCACCCTGTGGAACGCCCTCCTATCAGATGTCAAAGCGATAAATAACTACCTGACATTCAGAAGACATCTTAAGGCAGCCCTGTTCAGGGAAGTTTTTAATCTGTGATATTTTAGTGTATTTTTGGTTTCTATGGAAGCCGCCCAGAGTGGCTGGGGAAACCCAGCCAGATAGGCGGGTTACAAATAATAAATTATTATTATTATTATTATTATTATTATTATTACTATTATCCCCAAGCCCCAGTCAAGGGGAAAGAGATACTACTCAGAAGGATATTTGAAATGGAGAGACGGCACAGTCTTTTGAGAAGCAATGACTTCCAAGAATGGTTTGACCAAACAAAACAAAAAGAAGAGGCAAATAAAGAGTCAATCAGTTCCTTTTGGAAAACCGTTATAAGGACATGCAATGAAATTCAACCAAGGGGAAGCGAGGAAGTCACTTAACAATGTGAACAAGTGTAATTTTCAATAAGGCTATGATTTATGTTTGTTTGTCTTATGTGTTTGTTTGTTTGTTTATAATGTTGTGAAAACCAATATTTTTTTAAAAAAAAATATAAATAAAAAAATCAGTTCCTTTCACTGTGTCCCTTCAGATTGAACTGATTAGGGTTGGGATATTAAAAAACAACGAGAAAAGGCAAACAACGCCTGGGCATAAACTAGAGACTTATGCACATGTATCAATCCACAGGATTGATGATCAGGCTGGGCTGTCACTGCTCCACCACACGTCAGGATTGTATCTCACGTGAAAATGTAAAGGTGGTCTCTCTCTCTGAGTGTTTTCCTTTCCGCAAAACATTTTGCTCTTTAACTTAAATTTCATTTAAAAGAATGGCATCCAATGATTTAATAATATGTTGTCTTCCTTATATGTGGCATGGGGCAGAAAGAGATGCAGAAGAAAGTCTCCTTCTACTGGCACAGCAGGGGAGCACCGACTTGCGATGCGCCCGTGGAAGGTGGGTTATTACTGTTCCAGGATCCCGGAGGGCCTTCCATTGACGCCCATTTCCCAGCTTTGGCACTGACTAGGCTTCCAAGGCGCGGCTTTGGAAAGAGAGCGTGTGCAGAGCGCCTAACTTACACGCGCCGGCGCACGTACAGAGGGCGGAGAAAGCCTCGGCGGGGTTCGCCAGAGCGCCCTCGGGCTGGCGAGAGGAGGCGGTGCTGCGGGTGCCCCGTCGGAGGCGCGTGGCCGGCTTGAGCAGGGAGCGGAGAGCGCGCGGGCTCGGCGGCCAGGCAGGGTGGGCTCGGACCCGGAGCCCGGCGGTGGGCGACCGGCGAGCTGCTGCAGGAGCCCCTCCCGCCGCCGCCGCTCTCTCCAGCGCCCGTCACTTGCTAAGTAATAATTTCCCTGTCCAATTCCATTCCTTTTCTAGTTCTGAAATCTCGAAGCCATCAGCAAGGAGGATAGTTCACATGAAAACTAATTACACAAAATCAATATTTAATCACAGCCCAGCATCCTGATCCTGCAGAAAAATCCTTTAAAACCTCTCCTGCCATATACAAAGACTTCTTCGGGGCCGCTTCTTTATAGATCTCCTGGGGGAGGCGGGGAAGCGCCGGCGGGGAGGTGCTCCCCTTCTTCCCGGGGACCCCGAGTGGCCCCGAAGGAACAGGCCGCGCGCTGGTCTCTGCTGGGGGGGAGGGGGCGCGTAAACAAGCTGCTTGCTCGGGGCTCCGGCGCGGGGCGGGCGGGAGAGAAATCTGTGCTGGGCGGGTGGAGTTCAGCCCCGCGGAGGTCAGCGGGCGAGGCGCGCTCGCACCCAGGCGACGGGGATAAATATTTCAGAAAGAGCCGCGCGGCTATTAAATGACACCCGATTGATTCGGGGCTGCCGGCCCCTTCGCCCCCCGCCGGCCCACTAATTGCTCTCTTAAGGAGGCGCCGCTGGGCGCAGCCCGGCCGCCAAGCCCGCCGGCAGCAGGCGCTGGAGATACTCGGCGGCGGCTCCCTTTGCGGGGGGGCGACGCCGTGCGAGCGCGCGGCCGGGAGAGCCACCTTAAGGAGGAGCCCCGCCCCGCCGGGCGCTCATTGGCGCAGCCCGGATGGCTGGACGCGGCTGCTGAAATGCAAAACTTGTTGCTGTTTCTTGGGCGCGGGCGGAGAGCGAGCGAGCGCAAAAGAGGCAGGCGGGCGGGCGAGCGAGCGGGCGGGCGGGCGCCTGGCAGCGGCAACGCGACGAGGACGACGAGCCCGCCCGGCTCAGCCTCCGCGGGCCATGAGGCGGAGCGCGCCTCCCGGCCAGCCGAGTCCGTGAGCTCCGGCGCCGGGCAGCAACTTTCCCGCAAGATGTGAGCGGGGCGCGCGGGCGTCCTCCCTCCTCGCGTCGCTGCAGCAGCAGCAGCAGCAGCAGCCCCCGGCTGGCTGGCCGGCCGCCCGCCCGTCATGGCCCCCCAGTGACGGACCGACCCGGCCGGCCAGGGACCGAGGCAGCAGCGGCGGGATGTTCGGGCTGGAGCAGTTCGAGCCGCAGGGCAGCGGGCGGAGCGGCGAGCGCGGCGGCGGCGGCTTCGGGCCGGGCATGGGCTCGCACTTCAAGCCGCCCCCCTTCCACGGCGGGACCCCCGGAGGCGAGGCGGGGACCCTGGGCGCCCTGAGCGAGCCCGCCTCGGCCATGCTGGCCATGAACTTGAACTTGCCCGGGGAGGCGTACGGCTTCCACGCCTCCTCCCGCGGGGGCCACGCGGACCTGCAGCAGGCCCAGCCGGTGCACGGCTTCTTCGGCGGCCAGCAGCCTTCGCACGGCGCCCACCAGCAGCCGCCGCCGCCGTCGCACTTCGGAAGCGGCGGCTTCGGGGCCGAGCCCAGCGCCTCCTGCCTTCACGGCGGCCGGCTCCTCAGCTACCCAGGCGGCCAGCAAAGCTTCGCTGCCGACGGCTACGAGCAGCATCTGGCGGAGGGCCAGGCAGGCGCGGACGGCTTCGGGCAGCAGAGGGCAGGGCCCCTCCAGGACTTCCAGCCGCCGCAGCAGCACCACAACCCCGGCGTGCCGGCGCCCTGCCTGCCGCTGGATCAGTCGCCCAACCGCGCGGCCTCCTTCCACGGCCTGCCAGGAGCCGCCACCTCGGAGCCGCACGGCCTCGACTCGCAGAGGCGCCTCCCCAGCCAAGCAGCGGCCGCCGTGGAGTCCCTGGAGTACAGTTACCCGAGCGGCGAGAGTCATTTCGACCTGCCCGTCTTCTCGCCGTCGGAGGCCGACGGGCAGCTGCCCCACTACGGGGCCAGCAGGCAGCAAGTGCCGCCAGGCGGGGGGAACTTCCCCGGGCCCTCCTCGGCCTTGCCCCGAGGGCCCGGCGGCCTCGGCAAGGTGCACCCCCAGCAGCAGCAGCAGCAGCAGCACGGCGGCGGCGTGTTTTTCGAGAGATTTGGGGGCGCTCGCAAGATGTCGGTGGGCGTGGAGCCGAGCCTGGGCACAGGCAGGCACCCTTTAATGCAGCAGCCCCCGCCGCCGGGGGCCCTGCTGGCCAGACAGAACTCGTGCCCGCCGGCGCTGCCCCGGCAGCAGCCGTGCCCCGAGGGCAACGCGGCCAACCCCGGCCTTCAGGACGGCGGCCCCCTCCTGCAAGGCCAGCACGCGCAGTTCGAGTACCCCATCCACCGGCTGGAGAACAGGAGCCTGCAGCATCCTTACGGGCCGGGCGAGCCGGTCTTCAGCGTTCACCACCACCCGCCGGCTCAGCAGCCTCCCAGCCAGCGGCTGCAGCACTTCGACGCCCCCCCCTACATGAACGTGGCCAAGCGGCCCCGCTTCGACTCCTGGAGCGGCGGCGGCAGTGGCGCGGGCATGCACAGCGCCAGCCTGGACAGCCACCTCTCGCCCTCGGCCGCCTACCCGGGTCTGCCGGGAGACTTCACGCCGCCGGGGCCCGAGAGCTTCCCGCCGCCGCCGGGCGCCGACCACCAGGCGGCTCTCCAGCAGCAGCAGCAGCAGCAGCAGCAGCGCCAGAACGCCGCCCTGATGATCAAGCAGATGGCGGCCTCTCGCAGCCAGCAGCAGCGCCTCCGCCAGCCCAGCCTGCAGCAGCTGAGCCACCACCACGCGGGCCACCACCACCACCACGCGGGCCACCACCACGGCGAGCCCGCCTTCGAGGCGCAGGAGGGCGCCTGGTTCCCGGCGCCGCATCCTCCCTCGGCTGCGCCGGGCGCAGGGGACTTGCTCTTCCGGCCAGGCGTGGGCGGCATGCCGGGCTTGCAGGAGCCGCCGCCGCCGCTGAGGATTCCGTCGGGGGGCGAAGGACACGTGCCCTCGCCGGGCAGCCTGCACGGCCAGTTCGGCCTGAGCCCGCCCTCGGAGCGCAGCAGGCCGGGCCCGCCGGACTTCGCGGCCCAGCAGGGCTTCCCTTTCGGCGCCTCCAGCCGCCAGGCCACCCCGCACAGCGCCTCGCCCGCCTCCTACGGGCCCCCGACGGACTTCCAGCCCTCTGGGCCGCCGCCGCCGCCCCGGCCGCCGCAGTCCAGCAGCAAGCTGGGCGCGCTCTCTCTCGGCTCCTTCTCGAAAGGGAGCGTGGCGGGCGGGGTGGCGGGGCCTCCCGGCGGCGGCGGCGGCGGGGCCCCGGGCCCCAAGGAGAGCAGCGGCCTCTTCGGGCAGAGCTGCCTGGCGGCCCTCTCGACGGCGTGCCAGAACATGATCGCCAGCCTGGGCGCGCCCAACCTCAACGTCACCTTCGGCAAGAAGGGCGCTCCGGCCGCGGCAAGCGGAGGCGTCGGGGCGGGGAGCGAAGGCCCCAAGCGGAGCAAGCTCGGCCCGGCCGAGCCTCCCAAGCCGGGCAGCGGCGGACCTCAGCCGCCGGCGCCGGCCCCGCCGGCCCCGGGCGAGAGCGGCCTGTCCCCCAATTACTCGCCCGGCCCGGGCCCCGACGCCAAGGTAGGAGGCGGGCGCGGTCGGGGGCGCAGGAAACGGGACAGCGGGCACGTCAGCCCGGCCGCCGGAGGGGGCGGCGGCAGCAGCTTCTTTGACAAGTACGGCCCCACGGCCGGGGTGGAAGGCGGGAGCCCCGGGCAGGGGGCAGAAAGAGGGGGCGGCACTCCGCATCTCCACGAGCCCCACAAGGCGCTGAGCTCGCCCCCGTCGGCTTGGGCCAAGGGAGGCGGCGGCGGCGGCGACCTCCTCCTGCCTCCGCCGCCGCCGCCTCTTTCCGAGCAGCCCGAGCTGCTGCCCTCCCTGGAGAAGGCGGACTCCTGCTCGCCCCGCGGCGCAGGCGACTTCCCCGACGAGGCCGGCAACGAGGACGAGGTGTCGTCGAGTTCCGACAACCAGCTGGCCAAGGGCTGCCCGGCGGGGCGCAGCCCGGTGCAGCCCCGTCCGGGGGACCACGCACTACTGAACGGACAGAAGGCCTCCCTGGCCCAGCTCAGCCTCCACGCCGGCGCAGGCAGCAACTCTACCTCCAGCCCCGACAGCTACGGCGGCGGCCCCCCCGCCGGCGCCCCGGTGCAGGACGAGATCCACCCGCTGGAGATCCTGCAGGCGCAGATCCAGCTGCAGCGGCAGCAGTTCAGCATCTCCGAGGACCAGCCGCTGGGCCTCAAGAGCGCCAAGAAGCCCCCCGACGGCCCCGCCGGAGCCGCGGGCGGCGGCAGCCAGAGCGGCGACAGCGCCGAGCTGAGCAGCTGCTGCGCCGCCGCCAGCGCCGCCGTCGAGAGCGGCAAGGGCGCCATGAGCACCATCGACCTGGACTCGCTGATGGCCGAGCACTCGGCCGCCTGGTACCTGCCCAGCGACAAGGCCCTCCTGGAGGGGCAGGACGACGACGACAAGGCCCTGGCGCCCTGGGAGAAGGCCAAGCCGCCCAACCCCAGCAAAGAAGGTACGGGGCGCGCGGAGGGGGGGGGGCTTCTGGGGCGCCCCTTCCAGGCAGATGCTGTGCAGAAAGGGGGCGGCAGGAACCCCCTTGCAAGGCTAGGCCAGCACAACCCGAAGGCAGGTGGGAAGTGGACTCCAGCCCCTTGGCGGCCGTGGCCTTCCTGGGTCCCGGGCAGGTGGAGGAGGAAGCAGGCTGCGGGAGGATCAGCCGCAAAAACCTGCGCCAACTAATGTCTGCCCCGTTCCCTCCGACCCCCCCCCCCCAATGCCTTTCCTTGTGCTTGAGAAATGGGGGAGGAGCGGCAGAAGGCCGAGCTAGTATTTTTGTGTCTCTGCCGCACTGCTTGTGTGATGTGCAGGGTAAGTTTCCAACAATGGGATGTATGTTCTTGCCAGGATAGCTGCTTTAGGAAAAGCCAGCTTCTTGGAGGCTCATGTGTGAATGATCCCTTTGAGGTGTCCCACATGTGCCCTTTGCTGTGCTGGGGTTTCGCTCCCTCCGCCCCTGCAGAATTATCAAAAGGTACTCATGGCGACATCACGTAGAGCAAGCTCTTCCAGCATATTTTCCTGACTCTTTCAAATAAGCGCAGTGCATTGCATACACAAATGCACTTCAGTAGCATTTAAGTAAGAGAGGAAAGGAACTGAGTGCCTGGTTAAATTTCTTCATTCATCTTAGGAATCTCTGGTTTCCTTCTTGTTCCTAAGGTGCATTTGATTTATTCCAATTCAGGTGTTGCATTGAAGTAATTAAATATAGTAATAAATAAGAAAGTTAGAGGAGCAGACATTGCTTAGTTTTTCATTTTTAGGTCAGACTTAAAATGTGTTGAGGGCTAAGCTAGGCAGTTACAATGCTCTTCTTCATTTGGTGGGACTCTAGGTTAGTGAGTGGAAAGGCAGGGCAGCAGGACTCGGTGAACTGTGACCAGGCACTTCTTCATTCGCTCATTAGTATGTGGAATTCAGTAGATGGGTAGGATCCCTGTGAAACATGATAAGGAGCTGACTACTGGGGAATACTAGCCATCGGTCTTCCTTTTTTGTGGTTGTTTTTCCAGCATCTGCTCAGAAAAAGTTTTTGTTTTGTTTTGCTTTGTTTTGAGCCTTGTGTTTTTAGGGTATGTGGAAAGGTTTCTAGGAGGCTGTTTGAGAAACTCCCCGCTCCGCTGGCTTTGTCGAATCTGAATGCTGCCTTTGCTGTTTGTCTCTTTGTTCCCTGGCAATGCCAGTGCAGGGAGCTTCTTTTTCTGAGGCAGAGAGTGCTTAGCATGCGCGGCAGATGCCGGGAAGCCCATCAGCATTCTTCAGGCTTCATCCAGGCAAGGACATAAATTGGTTTGTTTAGGGGGGCTGCCTTTTCCATTTTTAAATGGAGTTTCACACAGCATCCTTCCTGGCTCCTTCTTTTATTGTTTCTTGTACACAACATCTAGATCTGACTGGATCAATAGCTAGTTAGCACAAATCACAGCTCCCGTCACCTCTACCTTGCCAGACGCACACCTAAGTGCAGACATGCACACACTTGTTCCCTATAAGTACAATCAGATTGGAAAGGAGAGAAATAACTTGACCATCTTAATTTGTTTCTAAGAAACACACAGGTGAAAAACTTCTGAGCTATGCTTTGCTTCATATCAGTGATGTTTTGAGGTCACACATTGGCCACAATCCAGCAAAAGAGTTAGGCGGGTTTAAGCCTGATATTTGCATGATTTTCATTTCCAATGATTCCTGCCATTGTTATGTGATTTATAACAACTTTAAAGGCAGCAGCCCTTATTGTTCATACCATGCTAAAAAAAGGCACTGTCACTTAATCTGCCAGCTTTCTGAGCAGAAAGCTACCATCGTACTACTGGGTCTAAAGTTAAACGTAATATACTGATCTAACTTTGCCAATGGTATGAGTAGAAAAACGTAGCCAATTTCTGAAAATTTGTCCTTAAGAAGGCATGTAGAGAATTACAGTAGGTGTTCTTGCCAAAGGTTACCAAATATTTCAGGATTTATGCAGCTGAACAAATGAACCATCTACAGGAGGAAAAGGGGCACTCTTTACATATTTTTTTTTTAAAAATCTGCCAAATATAATATATTTATTTTGGTCCAAAGACCCGCAAAAACATTTTCAAAAGCAAAATAAAACAGAAAATCAGGGAAAGGATTCCAAGGCAGTCACTCTGCTTTATCCAGAGCATGTAGGTTTCTATTTCTTATTACTTCCGAGAGGACAAATATATATTAGAAGTCAACCAGGACCTTTAAAACAGAGCCTATTCACACTTTGCTGCTGCATCATTTTTTTAAAAAAATGATACATAAAATGAAACAAAGCTAAACATTTATTTTGAAGTGTTCATGCAGTGCACTGCTGCTATTCTGTGAGTTTGTGAGTGAAGAATAATGGGATTGGAAGCTACTGGACTTTGGAAGTTGGGCTGTGCCTTGTTCCTGAGGATTTCTTGGAAACACTTGGTCATTAAGAACTTCAGACATAACCTTTTTTCCAAGCTTAGCTGCAGTTTAACATCGACTGCAGTGTAAGAATTCATCCCCACCCCCACCCCCTCTCTGTGCGTGTCATATATCCCATAGCTATTCTAATTATAGCAGTTAACAATCTGTGAAGACCTTTTCTTACTGGAGAAATGCACTGTTGAAATCAACTACCAGATCTCATTTTTGTTTATTTTATTTGTATAGATGTGTTTTTAGGTTTCTATTGGTTTTGTTATAATTGGCTTTAATGTTTATGCTCTTTATGTAAGTAGTTTTGGGTCAGTTTTGTGAGAAAAGTGCTTAGTAAATATAAATAATGTTATATTTCTGAAGGCATCCCTGTTCAGGGAAGTTTTTAATATTTAACGCTATACTGTTTTTAACACTTGATTGGGAGCCGCCCAGAGTGGCTGGGGAAACTCAGCCTCATGGGCGCGGTATAAATAAATTATTATTATTATTATTATAGTTTAAAATTAGTTTGTGTAGATATAACACATGGATCTATATTTATGAATAACCTTGTTGAATTTGTGTATGTCAGAAATTTAATACAGATCTGATACAGGTTTAAAACTCTAGGAAGCCAAAATAAGGAAAACCCATACCTTTTTTTAAAGACTGGACTAGAATCTTCCATAGTGACTCCTAGCAGCAAAGGATGACATTTCAGTAGCAAACATCTGCTAGGGCCATTTACAGTTAAAACAAACTTGGAAAGGCAGTATCAGTTTATCTATCTGTCCTTTGCTCTGGAACAGTTCCACAAAACTCAATGGGAGTGTTTCTGAGATGAATGGAGTGAGGAGGTATTCTGGGTTACAGTCTCAGGGCTGTTTCCCATGTGGCAGCAGGGAGAATTCTGTATATTTTGCTCCTACTACTCACATTTAGAAAGTATCGTAGAGCAGAATGAGACCTTTGTGCCATTTATATGCATGGTGGTGTACACATTTTATTTCTAAGTGGAATTTATCTTTGAGTATAAAAATACCAGTATGGAGTGATGCTAGATTCTGTCTAGAAATAAGCTCCCCTGCATTCGGATCCTAGACACCTTCCTGAGAAGGAAGTTTCCTCTTACTTACTTGGGAGTATATTGCCAACTTAAATCAAGGTGACATTTTTCCTTGTTTGGGTATATAGAGTCACGTTTGTTTCACACGCTATTTCTTTCATGAATAAGCAAGAAAAGTGCTACAAAGCCCATTCTTTCTGTTCAATTTCTTCTGTCCTCGATTTCTTCATTATAACTTCTTAAGATCCATCTCAGTTGGACACACACCCCTGACGCCGTCCCATAGGAACAGGCAACCTTAAACAACTTAGGTGGCTGTCAGGCAAAATGTAAATAGATGTGGTTACGCTCTGCAGCCGTTGCATTTTTATTCACAGGCCTTTGCAGTGCATTTAGCTCCTGTTTGTTGGTCTGGAAGCATGTCATAGCTCTCATAAACCTGTCCTTGTAACTAGCCAGCACATGGAGCAGACAGAACTCTGAACGGGACAACCTGCTTAGCATGAAACGTTTATTTGTGCCCTGAATGACGGGCTGGATGAGTGTGGCCTCTTTCATCTCCTAGTGTAGTCTTGGGTAGTCTTTATTTTTAAAGTTTCTGATCTGCATGAGGGAATAGCTTTGCTTGTTGAGACTTGTTTATAACTTGCAGAAAATTCCAAGCACCCTCAAAAAACAGTACCGTATTTAGGTTGAAATTGATTTACGACGTAAGAGCTATTATAAACAGGTAACCTGACTAAATACTGCCATTGTCATAAAACTGTGAATCCCAATTATTTGGTTTCAAAGCAGTATTTAAACTTATGTGAGGTATTTTAATAGCATTGACAATGTAGCTTCCATCACCAAGTTGTTACATGATACAGACCATTGATATGAAATATGCATCATTAATAAATGATCCGGTTTAGTAGTGTGATTTATGATAAAAACTCACCTGTGGAAAGAGATTAAGATAGTCATGTAGTTCGAGTTTCGCATTTAACAAGCTTAAAAAAAATCATTTGTGCAGTTTTTTTTTTTAAATGAAATAAACCAAACTTCTTTTACGTGATTTGATTTAATTCATTTGTTAGCCAGCATCATACTTTTGTCTCTCAACAGTGAAGTATTTCACAGTCATTTGATGGGGAAAATACTTCTGGTCAGTCTTTGCATTTGTCTTTCCTGTCTTCTGTTTTCTGCATTTCTGGACGCTTCTCAGGAGAAAATGTGCATAGTTTTATAAAACAGCTGGTGCTGAAGAATTGGGGCTGTAAGTATAGAACGGTTAAAACCTTTCTCCATGTTTATCTGTGAGAATAACTCGAGGTAGCTCACATCTGCTGACTGACATAAGCACAGATAGCTTTGCATTGAGTTTAGGGCCCCCCCCCATTTTTTTTAAAAAACCTTAAATCTCAGTTTGTGGCACATTTGTGGTGCTACATGTAAACTGGAATTTTAATTTGCACGTCAAATTAAAATTGGAGCAAGCAGGAGAATTTCCCCCGTGTTCTCAACATGCTGTGTGAAAGTGTGTTCTGTTGCCTTGAATTGTTGGGCGTTAAATTTGAGTCGCATATTCCAGATTAACACAGGGAATGTGTTGCATAGTGAAATCAGGTTTAGGAGAAATGGATTATGTTTAGAATTGAGTTTTTCTGAAATGCAAATACTAGGTGTCATTTAAATGTACTGATTTACTATTTACTTATACAGTACGATTTTGTAAGAATGTTACAATAAAAATGGTTTGCATGAACTGCAGAGGAGGAGGAGGAGGAGGATAATGAGGATGTGGGTAGCGTTTTAATACAACCCAATGACACTTTAGTGCTTCTCCCGTACGTACAGAAGTATTCGTAGACATATAAATTTACACACTAATAATAATAATAATAATAATAATAATAATAATACAATTATTTCTACCCCACCTACCCAGCTGGGTCTCCCCAGCCACTCTGGGCTGCTTCCAACAGGTTAAAAATATATTAAAGGTACAAATACTGAGCAACCACTATCTTACTGGAGTGCAGCCTGTGTTTCCACATAACCCAAATCACATTTCATAAAATGAGCCTTGCCTCCCCCCCCCCTTTCTACAGAATAATTTATTTGAGTTCCCACTGTAGATTTTTGAAACTGCATTGGACATTTAGAATATCTTATGTGGGAAACTTGGCTTTCTTGCACCCTTTGTAGTGCTCCTCCTGTAGCTCATCTTAAAGCAGGAAAGCACTATTTGCCTAACGGTGTAAATGTGTGTTGACTATGACAATCTATAGTTTATTTTGGTGAGCAGGAGCAAGCCTTCCACTAGCCTTCTCTAGTTATTTTTGCACATTACAGGAATCTTTGGAAGAGTGTTAACTTAAAAAAAAATCCTGCTTAAAATTGGAAGGTGGGCAAAAGCTTCTTCAGTGATATTCTAAGAATATTTTTCTTTGATTAGCAATACATTTGGAACCTGACTTGATTACCTGCTATTTATAGTCTGTATTTTAAAATTAAGTATTAATTGGGGCACAGGCAGTTTAGAAATGTGATGTAATTATACTGCCTAGTAAAGTTCTAGGCATTGGTCTATTGTTGTATTATGGCCTCTAGTTTTCATTAAAAATGGGTGGACAACCTCAGTTGTTTTTAGTGGTATAAAGCATGTGGGAGAAAAGCCCGTTGCAATATCCAGTTTGCGCATGAATGGGACAACTGGGATGAGGTGCTCCCTTCCACTGGTCCCTCTCTCCCCCTCGGGCCCTTTCTGCTCCAATGTGGCAGTCACATTTCTTTCAGCACGACATACATTTCAAGATTACGTGGCAGAGATCGTCAGATTCCTCTTAAATATTGGGCTGTGTGAATTTTACTAGCTGGAGGGATAATCCATTAATTTTAACTAGCTGATTTTCTTAATGCTTCAAAGGGAGCAACTTAGATGATACTGCACTGCAAAAATTATTAGCCAAAAGCCTCTAATTGTTAGCTCCTTGGCTTTCAAATGATGGAAGTGATGTTTAGTTTTTATGCGGAACTGAGTCGCCTGGACCTCCTCAGTGGAATTTACTATGTGGAGGCGCCAGTTGGATGTTACAAGGGATTGTGTAAGTTAATGCTCAGAGTTTGATGTTGAGAAGGATTTGTTCCCTTCATTTTCTTTTTAGCGCTTTTGGGTCTGTGTGGGTTCTAGAGGTCATGTGTGGCTGGTGGGTGTGTATCTTGTGTTGATTTGGGAGCCTTTTAAACCTGTTTGTAGCCGGCAATAATTGCACCTAAGATAAATTTGCAATGTGGGTTCTCTCAGCTTTGTTTAGGGACAAAAGCACTACTTGGAATAATCTGTAGATTTATTGGTTTTTAATAAATAAATTATAACAACTTCCGTTAGGTATTGGACTAACCTGAAATATTAAGTGCTGAAGACTTTTGCACAAAGAAGACTTTGTCTGAATAATTTATTTTTATGTGGGACCATTGTTTGTCTCAAAAAGCTGAGAACACTCCTTAAATAGCATCAAATGTTGCCGACATTGAGACCCTAATATTTTAACTGGTTGAGTATAGTTCCAATAGGTTGAAGATGTAGTGGTTAGAGTAATTATTGCTCAAGGAGAGCTCATATGCTGTTTTAGCTTGTTTTTTTTAATGTAAATAGCTTCTTTGTGCCTTGGACACATTAAGTTTTGCAAGAGTAGAAATTTTAAGGGTATCTTCCCACTAGAAATCCATTTAAAAACATAGCTTAAAAACACAGTAATCAGATTTATTTGGTATTGTGGCTTTTTTTAATTAAAAAAATAAAATCCAGTTCAGCACAGAAAATTGCTCCTGCTCTGAGTGTCACAACGCTTTCCCCTCTCAAAGTGCAACAGTTCATTTGAGGTTATATGCAAAAGCAACAAACCTCAAGGCTCTGGATAACTGCAGAGGTTCTCACCAGAAGATCACTTTCATTCAGAACGTAGCTCTTCTGCGTTGCGCTCCTTGTGCTGGATTTGTGGCCCTTGTGTGGGATTCCCGGTAGCCCTTGAGCCCCAGTGCACAACATCAGAGCTCCAGACCTCACAGGGCCCAACTAGATGTGACATGATAGGATATTTATTAAGTGATTTCCTGACCTCTTTTTCTTTGGCAGATGCAGTCACGTTGACCCCAATTTGGATTGGGGTCCACAGCAAGGAGCTTTTAAATCCTTCCCTTGCCTCAGTTTTCAAATTTCATCCCTTCCTAGAGTTGCTAGTAGCAATGGAGGGGAAAATATGCAGGCACAGACCTCTTGGCACCTGTTTCTTCTACTTGCCTGGGCTCAATTGCCTGAAAAGAGAGCTGTTGGGAAACTGATGCAAAATCTGGTTTTTCTTTTAAAAGAATGGGGATTTGATAATTGAAATGCTTTCTTGCACTCCAGTCAATGGCAAAGCATCTTTAGAAGTTTCAGGCCAATTTTAGGTAAATTTTAATTGCTGAAGAAAAATGGCTTGGAGTAAAATGTCAACCAGCTACCTTTCTAAATAATAATAATAATAAAAATCTTGTAACAGCTTCATCTAAGGCTAAGCAAACAAAAAAATGGAGATATACCGGTACCTTCGATTTGGGAGAATTTGTTCTCATTTAATGTTTAAATAAAAGATGGGGGTGGTGTCAGCCCCTTTGCTAATGTGAATATATTGAAAGGAACATGAACTATTAACACATGCAGAGGAGAACTAAATTAAGTTTTGGAGTGCCTGAGGCTCTGGCGATTCTCCCCTCTCCATTTTTCCCAGTGTGTTCTATGATATGACCCCCCCCCCGCCCCAATGCAATTTACATTTTCACACTGGAATGAAGAGGAGAACAGATAATCTCCTTCATCGCACAGAATCCGGAGCATGCGGTGGACGGGTGGGGGGCAGAATGGCTACCTAGAGCCTCTTGACATGTTAGTCTTTAACATTTCTTTGTGACTTTAAAGATGACCCACAGCTCAGTTAAAGCAGCCTCCTTTTTTAATTTTTTCTCTGGCACTTTTGACATCCAGGGTTATATCTCAAGGCAGAGGACTGGGCTGTAAGCTATTTTGGTCCCATAACAGTGATATCTGTGTTGAATTTTATGGACAAGGTGGCTCAAGAGAGATTGTTTTAGCCCAAGTCAGTCCCTCAGCCGCCCCGTATATTTTCCCAGTGATCAGTCAGTCTTTTAACACCAACTAGTTGTTCTGCAGCTGATGTTGGCATTGTGAGGTGAACTGCAAATCAGAGAGAGATGCAATTATGTCCCAACAGGAAAGAGAGAGACTGTTGGGCACCAGAGCAATCTGCATACTTTGGGTATTGATGTTCACACCATGCAGTGCTTCAGACTAAAGCACTGCCCTGCCTCTACTTTGACAGTTGCAGATTGATCATGCCACCATGAAAGGCACTTGAGTAAGTTTTCATGGGGTGACATTTCCCTCTTGGAGGTGCCATCCCATCTTTCTCCCTCTATGTAAAAGAGAAAAGTGTACTAGACCAGCAATCTGAACCTAAGCAAGGGAGCGGGGAACAGAATCAGCTAGGCAATGTTTTGAACTCAGAATTCTGGTTGCAAAAATGGATCCAAAATGGACTCTTTCACTTCTTTCTGGAGTAGCTGAAAGGCAAAGTTCAAATTCCCAATATCTCCTTCAGACAGGTTCTCACTCCTTTATTTCTGAAACTAGCAATTCTTTGTTTGCTTGATCACAGCTAACGCACGGTTGTACGTATTGGTGATACGGTATGCTGGAAGTGTAAATAATGCAGAAGTGTAACAGCGGGTATCTAAACTGGGCAGTTCCAATTTACATTAACTGGTTCTTAGTGAAGATTTCTGTATGTGTGCTTGGGGAAGGCAGGGAGTTAGGCTATTTCCATCCAACTAAGACAAATATATAAGCCAGAGAATGACTTTGAAAACACTGGGAGCTCCATGACTCTCCCTTCATGAAAGCAGCAGAGGGAATCTAATTACTGCTAGTCACCAACTCTTGAATGCTGGCCTCATGTTTGATCAATGAAAGAAAACCCAATCCATTACCCGCACTTCCCCATAGATGTGCTCCGTCTGACTGTTCTTTCAAATTCCAGCCACAGCCACTGAACCAGTGCTGCTTATGTCATAACTTTTCCAAACGGTGGAATTTCAGGAAATATGAGACATTCTGATATTCCATGCATGGGGTGGTGTGCCAGCAAGAATGGTAACTCATTCAACCCAAGTTTGATCATAGCTGTTCTGAAAAGGTGATGCTTGAAAACTCAAATAAATGCCACTGTGCTCCTTCATTCTTTTCTTCCAGCCTGCCTTCAGTTCTGGCGGTGGGGGCAATATTTAATTCATTTCAGCTGTTTGCAGAATGAACAGCGTCAGGCCAGATTATGAGATGATGGCAGTTGGCATTTCTAAAGTTTGGAAATGAAGCTTTCTTGACCCACTCACCTTCACGCATATGCACTTTTAGGGTTGCAACTGATATATCTAGATGAATTGTCTGAAGGATGCTTCTTTGCTTTTCTATCTCTATTTATTTATTTTATCTATCTATCTATTTATTTATTTGTTTGTTTGTTTGTTTCTGGGTAATTCTAGCCCTTTACTAACTGGTCCTAAGGCAGAAATAAAACAATAAAGCAAGAACAAATGAATAAACAATAACTGTGTGCACATCATAATTAAAACATCCTTATTTGGATATAATCTGGAGCGGCAGCCTTCTTCAGGAAGAGTCTCTTGGTTGAAGGTTGTCTGTACACACGTAATTATATCTGAGTTTGCCAAGTCTAAATTTATCCTGACCTGTCGTCCTTTGATTGTTTCTTTGAAATCCATTTGTGTAAATGACTCAAATTTTTTGGTTGCAAATTGGCAGAACTCGGAAGAGAGTGGCCGGCGAGGGTGGGGAGTGTCACTTGAGGTTGGTTTGGATGGATCCTGCAGTTTAATTTTTATGTTTGCCTGTGCGGAAGGGTTTGGCGGCTGAAGGGCCTTAAACTTCAAAGGGCTTCCAAGTGGAAGTTGCTGCTTTGTCTCACCCTGGGATTGTACACAATAGCCCAGCTAGGGAACAGCAAATAGAAGATGGCTGCCTGTCTGATGCAGCAGTGGTGCGAGACTGGTACTTGTGGTTACAGAGCTTATTACCATGCTTTAGTTACAGGTTTCCTCCACCACCACCAGGACTCTTCTATGGTGGCACCTGGTTGAGGTGGGCTCCTAACCAGCGCTGTTTTTCTAGAAGGAGATGCGGAACTCACCATGAACGCCTCCCTTGTTCTCTCATAACGGCAATGGCGCCTGCCTGAGAGGTGGCGGAACTGAGTTTTGGTGAGTTCCAGCTGAAAAAAAGTCCTGTTCCTCACCATTTCTTGGTATGCCTGGGGACTGTGCTGGTGTCTTTCTTGTGCCAGGGTTAGGGGAATGCATTTCTGTTCACCTGAGCTTTTAACTTTGTATTTACAGTGCTGTTGTTTTCTTAGTGGGGCTTTTGCGCTCTGTGTTCTGCTGTTGTGTTCTCTATTTCTGAATCTGATTTATTTGGTTTTAATGTTTTACAAGGCTCCGGAGACATTTTTATGGAGCTGTGGGGTGTGCATTTAGGAAATGAGAGAGAGAGAGAGAGAGAGAGAGAGAATTTGAAAGACGGTTGAATTTAAAAATCTGGGCAATATCATTATTGATTTTAAATGATATGGGAAAGGCTGTAGTCCTTAATTCAGCTCTGGGATGATAGTGTTATTTCAGAAAGATTAATTGCCACAGTTAGGTAAAGGGACCCCTGACCATTAGGTCTAGTCGTGGCCAACTCTGGGGTTGCGGCGCTCACCTCGCTTTATTGGCCAAGGGAGCCGGCATACAGCTTCTGGGTCATGTGGCCAGCATGACTAAGCCACTTCTGGCGAACCAGAGCAGCACATGGAAACGCCGTTTACCTTCCCGCCGGAGCAGCACCTATTTATCTACTTGCACTTTGACGTGCTTTCGAACTGCTAGGTGGGCAGGAGCAGGGACAGAGCTATGACAGCTCACCCCGTTGCAGGGATTCGAACCGTCGACCTTCTAATCGGCAAGCCCTAGGCTCTGTGGTTTAACCCACAGTTCTGGGATGATAGTGTTATTTCAGAAAGATTAATTGCTACAGTTACTTTCAGCTAAATACGACATGTGGAATACCCAAACTGTGATTATGAATTTAAGTGGCATTGCTGAAGGCACTTGCCGCCCATCCAGGCTGCGATCTTGCTCCCGGAGAGCAGCGTCTGCAGGGCAAAGTGCCTGTACAGGTGGCTCCATCATGTGGAGGCAGAAATCCAGGCTCAGCCAGAAGGGGGGGGGGGGCGCTTTGCTGAGCTTTTGTGAAGTTTCTGTTAATCTTGCTGCTTCTCATTCTGCCTCTTGGACCTGATGTTTAACTGGACATCCCACTGTCAATCGCTCTGTAGGATTGCCACAGTAAAGCATCTCTGCAGTCTTTGATCTTGGCGGAAGCGGCCCGTGTGTGAAAACAAGAATTTGCTTCTGGCACTAACTTGCATGGCCTCTGTTTAGCCCTTTTCCAGAGGATGGGTCATGGGGAGGAGAGCATTATTCATTTATTTAAAATCTTTAATACTCTGCCCTTCAGTTTGACAACTTGCACAGCAATTTGCAGCTGGCATTTAAAAGCAAATACCTCCCCCCCCCCGAAAAACACACATTTGATTTAAAAAATAAATAAAATGCATTGAATACAGTGAAAGAGCAGAACACCGGAGCAAAAGCAGCAAGGACAATCCCATACAAATAATAAAAGTGCTGGATAATTAAACAAAAAACCAAAGTCTTCAGCAGGAGGGCCTAATATACAGCAGCACCTGCCAGTCCCCCTGCTCGGAGCCTTCCACCAAGGAGGTCTCCTCAGCCTGGAAAAGGACCTTTCTCTGTCTGCTACCCACCTAACCTCTGAAGGTGGAGGCGCCCAGGCCAAGCCCTCAGAAGGTAGCATTCCTGTTCGGGCATTTTTGCATGGGAGCCTGTAGTCCTGCTTCTCCAAGGGAAGGAAGAAGGAAAAAAGAGCCTTGTTGCCATTGCTATTATTGCGGGCTTGTTTTTTGTTGGTATGGTGAAATGAGAAATGAGAAGGCCTCACAGGAGGACTGTGGTGAGGGAGAGGAAAGCTGCAAAGACTCCCTGCTTCTCCCCAGTGTCTCTTGAACTACATATCTTCCAAATTTCATTTTTTAAAAAATGATATTTATTAAAGTTTCAAAGAAAAGATTACATAAATAAAAAGAGAAAAAAAAGAAAGAAATAAAAAAGAAAAAAATACAAAATACAGAAAAAAGATAAAAAAACACTTAAACACATAGTCGGCCAATCGGTGTTAAAAAAGGACAGAACTTTCTTTATGTATGCTACAACAGCAGCAAGAATACTCATTGCAAAGTATTGGAAGATACAAGATCTACCCACACTGGAGGAATGGCAGATGAAAATGATGGAATACATGGAATTGGCGAAAATGACTGGCAGAATCCGTGACCAGGGAGAAGAGTCGGTGGAAGAAGATTGGAAGAAATTCAAAGACTATTTACAGAAATACTGCAAAATTGATGAATGTTAGAATGATGTTGGATTGAAGTTAAGGGGTTTCTAGCTGTACAGGCTAAAAGAATATGGAAAAATTGGTTTTAATATGTAAAATCTAAAATTTAAAGCTATATTATATCAAGATTAAAGATTAGGATTAAAAAGGAGGGAAAGGAACTGTTGGACTAACATATCTAATTAGAATACAAAAGAGGGAGGTAAGAGGAGGTCCGAGAAACAAGTAAATGTAAAAGAAGCGAGGAAAGGATGAAATTGTTTTTAATTGTTTTTTCTTTTTTTACTTTGTATTTTTTCTTTTTACTGTTAATTTTTTCTTCATTAATGTGGTTTTTTGTGTGTGAAATTTTAATAAATATTATTTAAAAAAAAAAAACAACACTTAAAAAACACATCAATCTTTCCATGCCTTACTTTTCATTTCCTTGCTTCCCTGACCTCCTCACACCTCCCTTTTTTGTATTCCAGTTCTATTAGTTAATTCAGCAATTCCTTTGCCTCTTTGTTTTTGTCTTAATCCTTTAATTTAATATATTATAACTTTGGATTTTCACCTGTTAACAGTCCATTTTTACATACACCTTTATAACATTGCTGCTAAAACCACTTAACTTCATTCTGACATCATTCTAACATTCATTAATTTTGCAGTATTTCTGTAAATAGTCTTTAAATTTCTTCCAATCTTCTTCCACCGACTCTTCTCCCTGGTCTTGGATTCTGCCAGTCATTTCCGCCAGTTCCATATAGTCCATCACCTTCATCTGCCTTTCTTCCAGAGTGGGTAAATCTTGTGTCTTCCAATACTTTGCAATAAGTATTCTTGCTGCTGTTGTGGCATACATAAAGAAAGTTCTGTCCTTCTTTGACACCAATTGGCCGACCATGCCCAGGAGAAAGGCCTCTGGTTTCTTCAAGAAGGTATATTTATATACCTTTTTCATTTCATTATAGATCATCTCCCAGAAAGCCTTGATCCTTGGGCACGTCCACCAAAGGTGAAAGAATGTACCTTCAGTTTCCTTACATTTCCAACATTTATTATCGGGCAAGTGATAGATTTTTGCAAGCTTGACTGGTGTCATGTACCACCTGTATATCATTTTCATAATATTCTCTCTTAAGCATTACATGCCGTAAACTTCATACCTGTGGTCCATAACTGTTCCCAGTCAGCCATCACTATGTTATGTCCAACATCTTGTGCCCATTTAATCATAGCAGATTTCACCGTTTCATCCTGAGTATTCCATTTCAACAGCAAGTTATACATCTTTGACAAAATCTTAGTTTTGGGTTCTAACAGTTCTGTTTCTAATTTTGATTTTTCCACCTGGAAGCCAATTTTCTTGTCCAAATTGTATGCCTCCATTATCTGATAATAATGAAGCCAATCTCGCACTTTGATTTTTAGTTTCTCAAAACTCTGCAGTTTCAATCTGTCTCTCGTTCCAGAATTTCCCAATATTTCGGCCATTTGGCCTCCATATTGAGCTTTTTCTGAGCTTTCGCTTCCATCGGTGACAGCCACCTTGGGGTTTTGTTTTCCAGTAGGTTCTTATATCTTATCCAGACATTAAACAATGCTTTCCTGACAATATGATTTTTAAATGCTTTATGTGCTTTGACCTTATCATACCACAAATATGCATGCCATCCAAATACATTATTAAAACCTTCTAAATCCAAAATGTCTGTGTTTTCAAGAAGCAGCCATTCTTTCAGCCAGCAAAAGCTGCTGATTCATAATAAAGTTTAAGGTCTGGCAGGGCAAATCCACCTCTTTCCTTTACATCCGTTAGTATTTTAAATTTTATTCTAGGCTTCTTGCCCTGCCAGACAAATCTAGAGATATCTCTCTGCCACTTCTTGAAGCAATCCATTTTGTCCAAAATTTGCAATGTTTGAATATGTTCCAAATTTCAGACTGGCTCCTGAAATGCTATGGCCCTGATTACATGGGTGTGTTTTTAAATCCTTGTAAGGGAGCTTAGTCTCAGGAGTCCGTTATTTCCAAGAGTGGGAGGTAGAAACAGGGGAGAAATTTGAACCACTTCACATTTCAAGGTGCTTCTATGTAATTGGCACTTTCCCAAACAAGACACAAACAGAAACATTAGCCACCCTTCAAAATTCCACACTTCTTCAGATTTTGTGGTGCAGTACTCCAAGTGATGTGTACAAAAATGCATATGCTAGGGTAAAGTGGGCATAAAATGCCTATATTAGTGAAAATAACATACAAAAATGAATTAGAAAAAAATTGCACTAAATGCTGATGATTTTGACTCAACCCAACAGGGACTCCTTGTGACATTTGCCCAACCACCCATAGTCAATGCAGCTTTTCAGATTGCAAGATTCCCCTCTTATGTGGGGAAAGGCCGGAGCCAGCTGCAGATCCAGTCACCAGCATCTTTGAAAAGGACCAGGAAGCCTCTTAGCCTGAGACTCTGCAGAGCTGCTGCCAGTCAGAATCTATAGGGTGCTGCGATAGAATGGACTATGGTCCATTTCAGTATAAGACCGCTTTGTATGTGTTCAAAGAGCTGCATTTTCCCTGCAGCAGTTATATTGCAGTTTTGAACCCTGGAAATCTTTATATCCTCCAGACAGAAGCGTTTCCTGAATCCTGGAAATGCATATTTGGAACTTTAGTAGCAAATGTATGATCACTGTCTATAAACAGATTGTTTTGGAAAGCCTTTCTTTTGTGTGAGGTGGTTATGGGCAAACACTGTGTTATGTGCAGAAGTATGAGCCTTTGTTTCTGTGTGCTTGTTATTTCTTATTTTGTAAGTGACTGCGGGGATGGGGGAGTGCATGGCTATTGGCTTTCCTGCCATTTACTTGTTCCTAAACAGTCTTTGGGGGAAAGCTCTTTTGCAAAGTTCAAAGTGCCCATTTTCCTACTTCCTTAATGTGAGTCGCAGCTGAAATGCAACATATAGTTGGCCTTTGATTTGTCCTCATCTCCCTTTGCACCAGCTTCCAATGCTTTGCTTATATACACTTTATGTGATGCTTCTGCTGGAATAGATGTCATGGGCTATTTTCCCAAATATTTAACACTGTTTCTGCTGTCAGGCGTGGTCCACAAACCACCTGTTACAGCCTTATTTTTAGAAGTATAAATAGGGGAAACGTAACTCTTGCTTCCTGGCTCTAGGAACTACCATATTTTTCGTCCCATAGGACGCACCTAGTTTTTTGGGGGGGAAATAAAGGGAAATTTTCCCCCCTTTATTTTCCCCCCCCAACCAGGTCGGGGATACCGAACCAGGTCAAGGAACAGCGGGATGGCGGCGCTGCGCCTCCCTGCTGTCCCCCGAGCTCGTGGGGCTGGCCGATGTCTGCCTGGCGCAAGGGGCGCTCTGCTTCAGGGTGCCCATTGCGCTGGGCGGCAGGCTGCTATCCGCAGCGTGGGGAGCCCTGCGGGGAACTCCTGCAGGGCTGCCCACGCTGCGGATGTCTGCCTGGCGCAAGGGGCGCTCTGCTTCAGGGCGCCCATTGCGCTGGGCGGCAGGCTGCTATCCGCAGCGTGGGGAGCCCTGCGGGGAACTCCCGCAGGGCTGCCTAGGCTGCGGATGTCTTCCTGAAGCCTGGAGAGCGAGAGGGGTCGGTGCGCACCGACCCCTCTCGCTCTCCAAGCTTCAGCGAAAGCCTGCATTCGCCCCATAGGACGCACACAGATTTCCCCTTCATTTTTGGAGGGAAAAAACTGCGTCCTATAGGGCGAAAAATACGGTAATTTCACATTCTTCCTAAATAAATATGCTTTCAAGTTGTATTATTGCTATCTCTAGTCACATTTGTAGAGCAGGCAGGTCTGAAGTGGCATGCAGTCACTTGTGTGAGAATTAGTAGAAAAGGTTATCAGTGAGTTGACTGTTTTATATTCTCTCCTAACCTGCTCAGCAAAATGTGGGGAATAGCCCAACATCTGGTTAATCTAGAGTACTGTACTTGAGCATCCCACCTCTTGGGGGATTCACAGCAAATCTCTTATACCAACCAAGTTAAAGCTATAGCTGAATACAAGAGATTTTGTAAGTACATGATGAAGATGACACTTTATTGATTGCACAGTATAGATAAATTGGCCCAGATTCACAGCTCTTTGCTTGAGTTGATATATTGTTGTTTTTAAACATACATATGAGAGTGCCATAAACACCAGGCCCCTTTTGCTGGGAGCATGTCTGTATAACATTGAATTTAAAATTCACTTTTGAATTTGCCATTGCTGAATGAATAAATTAATCCATGCCTGGAGCTTTTTACTCTACAAATCCTGCCAAATATCATAAGGAGACTCTTCTACTGCTGGGTCCTTTTGCCAAGAGGCTTATCTGACCCTGGAGAAGTGCTTTTGTTGTGTCATGTTCCTCAGGCTGAAAAGATTTGTTTTGTTTCAAGGCTTTTAGTGCAGAATATGGACACAGTATTTCTGCAAGGAGGCTCAGCACTAAAAATCTGCTTAGCAGGTGAGCGTTGGCTGGTGGATGCTGGTGGCAGTTGGTTTATATAGAATTTTTACGCGGAGTGCTTTATGTTGCCTGTTCCTGGGCTTAACTACAAGACATCCATTCATAAGACTGAATGTTCCAGATGCAGAGGCCGAGAGTGCTTGATTCACTTGAGATAGGTCAGGGAGCCAGTAGGTGGCTGAGGTTTGAAAACATCAGGTCCGTGTCCCAAGTTCTTCTCCCCTAAATCCCCCTGGTGTTTGGTTATGGCTCACTCTCACCAGTGAGTGGGTGGGGGTATTTTCGGACACCTCAGCATAGTGCACCAGTGTTGTTGACTCTGGTGTCATGCCATCCTGGGTTATTAGCTGGCTTTTGTAGAGATGAATATAGATTTTTCCTGTAAGGGAACAGTTCTCTGCTGGCCCTTCTTCTACTGACGTCCGTGTTTGTAAGATAAAGAAACCTATTTGGCTTACAGTAAGCAAATGCAAAGGACTCAAACAAGCACCTCCTGGCACAAAACAAAAATCAACTTTTGACTTTAATGTGTCTGTGTTTATCATTAATAAATAAACCTCCCTAGCCTTGTCATAGGGGAAAGAAGACTTAGGAAAAGCCCCTGCTTTTAAGTAGATATTTATTTGCTTCAGTTTATGGGGAAAACCTGTATTGACTGTCTCACAGTTTGCCAGAGAGAGAGAGAGAGATGCAATAAATTGTTTTTTCTTAAGTAGCTAAGCTACTGAAACAAAAGTTCTTCAGTGCTGAGAGCAGATGTGTTGAGGGTAGGCTATCTTCTCCTGACGTTTCCTTATTACGAATGATTTCTCTTGCAAAATCCCCCTTGGTTTTGCAGATATTTCCATCTTACTCCATTTAAATGGCAAACGCCGTTTATGTTTCTGATAGTGCTCGCTAGTCACATCATTGTGTGCTCATTTGAATGTGCTCTTGTGCAGAGATGTTCTTCAGCATTTCTAACTCCCATTGTGTGAGTTCTCCACTGTGTTTTACCCTCAAGCAGAGATGGGCACACATTTTGTTCAAGCTTGAACAAAAATCAGGTCAGTTCCCAGCAACTTAAGTATGTTCATAGTGGGGTTGAGGGCTACTTCATTAAGCTTTAAATTATTTCAATGGACAACAGTTTATCCGTAAAGTCCCTGATTTTGCTTGGTTTAGAGAACAAAAGATGTTGCCCTGACGACAGAGGAGCCATTTACAAAAATAATTGACAAAAGTTGGCCAAACAGTAGATGAGCAGCTGAACCTGGGAAGTAGGGATATAATTTAATTAATTAATACTTTCCTCAGTGTCTTCTGTTTGCTTTTATGCCCAGTGGCAAATGCTTTTTGACATAGACTAACTCAGAAACTAGCCCTTTTCCAACTACAGAGCTTGTCAGAGTGGAGGAACATTCTTAAGTCTTGTCTTGTAGCCAGTGAAATGTATTTTGTTCCACACCCAATAAGGACTTGTTTTTATTAATTGAAAACTGCAGATCAGGTAATCTTAAAAATAAAAATAAAATTTACATATGAAAGTATTAATAATGAAAGCAGGAATTTTGGTTCTGCAGTTTTGCCTATTTTATTTGTGATTTTAATGATTTATAATGAATATCTTCATCGCATAGCTGAATATTCTTCATTTATTTATTGCATATCCACATAATTTGCATACCTAGCCAACTCAGTTTTTAACCTTCCTGTTTTCTGGATAGAGTTCATACTGTTGACGTCTTACACAAGGCATCCCAGTAATAAGGTGCAAAAATAAAATAAAATAATCTTTCTTGCAACTTATATAATATAGACTGACGTACACACTGTGGCTGGGATCCAAAAGAGCAACTTTAGGCGTGCCTATTGATGGATGTGCATGCCTGAAGAGGGAGGTTTCTACCGGCAATGGTACGTCAAGCCACAAACCGTTCTCAAAACTCTCACGGCATTAATAATTTTATATAAACTGTTCTCTGAAGTCTGGCTGGAAAGTGGAATATGAACACCTTATCAATAAATATTGCCTGTTTCTCACCAGTCACCAGTTCTCTTCCCAGGTTGTGCTGTTGCACTGAGGGTAGCTTTTTTCTAAGAATCCTCCTTCCTGTTACAGTAGTTCCAGATCCTACAGCACCTTATGCACCTTATATTGTTGAAGTCTAGCTTCTTTCTTTTAGCTTTCTTAGTTTAGATACGTCCTTGATTTCATTGTGCGATGGCACAGTAACAAACAAGGGCTTCCAAGGATTCAAGCTGACTAGTGAGAAATAGGCAATATTTATTGATAAGGTGTTCATATTCCACTTTCCAGCCAGACCTCGGAGAACAGTTTATATAAAATTATTAAAACAATAAGCATCAGAATACAAAGCAATAAAACAGAGAAGACGAGCAACTCTTTGTCATTGGAGTAGCTCCCCTCTGTGGCACGATGTTCTTTAGAAGCTGCTCTGGTGGCAGCTGCAGGAAGTGAGGGGTCAGTGCTGGGCACTGGGTGGTGGCACCTCACAAACGGTTTCTATTCTATTCCATTCCCCACACATCCTTCTGCTCTACATTGATCTGGAATAGGTACCACTCCCTCAATCTGTATTTGCACAAATTAAATTTTCATTCCACCCATGCATATGCATTGAAAGAACCAATAAAATCCAGGGACGACTTCTCCTCTTTTTCAGCCGTTGATATTGTGAATTGTGGCAGGATAGTTAAGAAGTAGCCAACCCACTAGTGCTGGATGCAGGTGTAGTTGATGTTGGCACAAAAGGTTCCTCACAGACACTGATTTGTTCAGTGTTGCGTCTGTTCTCTCAGGTCCCTCCTTTTGGATTGGTTTCTTACAATTTGCTTTTGACTGAAGCTGTATACACACCATAATTTTAAAATGGATAAAAAGCACACCGCTCCCAGAGAATCCTGGAAACTGTAGTTTCCTCTCACAGATCTTCACTTCCCAGCATCCTTAATAAACTACTGTTCCTGGGATTCTTTGAGGAAAGCCATGTGCATTAGATGTGTTTTATTTAAATGTATCTTGTGTATGCAGCCAGCAGCAGCTCAACTCATTTGCTGCTACGCAATTTGTGTCGCTCCACAGCCCAGTTTCATCTCTGTGTTGCTTAGCTAATAGAGGAGCAGGGGCCACAGTTCAGGTGCCTGGGACATTCAGTGGCACACACCTGTTTCTACCCCGTTAGGCTCTCAAAAGAGGATGTTCTTGTGACACAGCAACCTCCTGGTTTTTTTAGGGCCTTTGTGAAAAGTCTAAGGATGCAACATCACATACGTGTTTAGTGACAGCCTCCAAACCTTTGAGCTCCCTGCTTGCTTCTTCCTGGTATATCACATTGACCCACGTGCATCTGTCTTCGTCTAGCTATTTTTGGCAGGCGCCTCTGCATAGAGGGCAAGGACTTTGCAGGGCATAGTTGAGTGAGCTGCTGGGAAGGGGTGAAGCGTTCAGGCCACACACCTGTTTGTGACTGGGTTGATCTGTCTTAAATGTCCTCTGGCCGTGGGAAGGAAGACAGGCCCGAGCTTTGCTTTAGAGCCACAGAGAATGGGTCCTCGGGAAAGCGGCAGGAGCACCGTGGATGGAGAGACTGCTGGGTAACGTATGCAAGATAGTAAAAGTAAATACTATCCCTAGCCTATCCCTAGTCTATCCCTAGCCCTGACCAAACTGCGGGAGGCAGTGGAAGACAGGAGTGCCTGGCGTGCTCTGGTCCATGGGGTCACGAAGAGTCGGACACGACTAAACGACTAAACAACAATCCCTAGCCCTTAAGACCATGGGTCCAGTCCAGGGCTTCAGCCAGGCTGGAACAGGAACCTTGGAGCCGTGTTTGGGGCATTTCTGTTTTAAAATAGCAAAATGTGACTGAGGAAGGATAATGCCAGTTCTGCATATTTTTCTGAGGGGACTGCGTCTTAATGTTGCTGTGTAGATTTATGTCATTAAATCAGAAAATAATTTGAGCGTTTGGTATCTCTTTGTAAATTTGTCTGTCGCCTATAGAGACATTTCCGAGCAGATCTTTTCGCACTGATAATTGTGCAGAGGAAGATGTGGTTGGCCTTCCAAGAGTATGGAAATTTGGGCCTCCAGTTACAGGTTTTGCGGTTAACAGATAGACCTCACCCAGCTGCAGCAGCCAGACCCGGCTTTTGCATCTGAGCTGTTAGGAAATGGAGCCCTGACTGTGCCTGCCTCCTCCTGTCTGCCCAGCCTGTTCGTGTGGCCTTGGGCAGCTTGTGTGTGCCAATGAGAGACGAGTGGAAATGTCAGGGGTCAAGCTGCAGACAGGCAGGTCAGCTTCAGCCACAGCCTTGCATAGTGCAGAAACAGGGAGTTCTCTCTGGGGAAGATTAACTCTTTCCAGCACTGCTGCTTACTAAAGAATGGCAAGCTGCTTGAGCGTGAGTGAAGGACAGGCTTCGCCTTGCGCTGCACTCTCTTGGTTTGCACAGTAACTGGGATCAAAGTTTTGCTGCATCTCCACATTGGACTTGAAAGACCCCAGGGTGTGACCATCTAGGGAGCCTTGTAGCTTTGGGCTTATGCACCTTTCCTATGCACTTTAAAGCTCAGTCGGAGCAAACAGCATTCTGTGGAAAACCGAAATTGACGTTTGCTCTAACTGAGCGCTAAGAGCAGGTTTTCATGGGGAAAGCTCCAGAGTGAAAAAAGCCCACCACTTGGACATGGAGCTTTAAAGCACGGACCTGTGCCTGGAAAGAGCAGAGCAAAAGCGTAAGTGTGGACAAGCCCTTAGTGGATCCCGAGACACAGGAGCTGATGTTGCACCTTTGTCCCAGGGGTGTTAGCAGATGCTGGGATAAATCTCCATTGACCCTCTTTGTACAGCCCATTTAGAGGAATTTATTCGGAGGCCTGGATGCAAGTCCTGCCTTTGCTATGTCCTTGCGAAGTTGCCTCCTTCCAGTTTTTCTAAGAGTTGTCACAGCAGTTGCAATAAAGATTCTAAAGCATGTTGCAAATGCTAATGGCAAATAATCTATTGGAGTCCTTTGGTCCTCACATTGAATGCACTTTTGGAGGAGAGGAGAAAAGTGGGGACAGCTCTCTCTCTTCATATGGTTTTTACCTTGCTGTTTGGGGGATCTTAAAGCATGCTATGAGACCATATGGCTTTCACAAGATGGGCAAAGCCTCACTTGAACCATCCTGACTGACTTAGGGATTTTAAAGATGCTTTCTGTAGGAAATGCACAATGGTCTTGTGTAACTGGAAACACAAATACCTTACTCAAAAAATAATAATACTTTGGCTGAATCCGTATTGCCTGTTTCTTTTTAAAGCCCTCATGCAGCAGCAGTCCCTTGTGGGGGCGATGTCTGATGCTGCAGCTACAGTTGCATTTGAAAGGTGCATGAGTGTCATGGGCATCTACTGGATAGTACCCCTGATACCTCTGTCCACTTACCCAGAAAATGCTGGTAAATAATTCATTTTGTAATAAAATGAAACCTTTTATAAATTGACTGTATTTAGAAGCTGCACCACTGGAAGTGGGGAGTGTTCCTTTTCCTTCGCCCTCTCCATCCCACCCCCCTTGATCCCTGTTCCAGGTTCTTAGGGTAGGATTGGGGCATAGAGGATAGTTTCACAGGCTGATACCTTGCAACTCTAAACCTCTTCTTAGCAAAGATTCCCTGCCTGGATGGCGCCAGCCAGAGTGGAGGGCTGATTCTTACGTGTTGCTTGAGGAAATTGACGTTTCCTACATAGTTGTAGTTTTTCTTGTTCATTTGTTTCAATCTAGGCATCTCTTCCCATAAACGTCTCAAAGTGACTTAACAAAAAATTGGAAGTAGAGTACAAAATACAGCGTTAAAATCTGACATGCTGTTTGTCCTCTGATGGGCTTCACTTCCGAGGGCTCATCCGCAATGAATAATAATAATAATAATAATAATAATAAATTTTTTTTTTATACCCCGCCCTCCCCAGCCAAGGCCGGGCTCAGAGCGGCTTACAAGCAATAATAAAAACAAGTTAAATGATTACAACTTAAAAACAAAATTAAAAAATACAACATTAAAATATTGAAACATTAAAATATTAAAATGTAGCCTCATCGCAGAGGGAGAAGGAAAAGAAAATAGAAAGAGAGGGAGGGAATCAAATTGGCTCCAAGCCAAAGGCCAGGCGGAACAACTCTGTCTTACAGGCCCTGCGGAAAGAAATCAGATCCTGCAGGGCCCTGGTCTCATGAGGCAGAGCGTTCCACCAGGCCGGAGCCAGAGTTGAAAAGGCCCTGGCTCTGGTTGAAGCCAATCTGACTTCCTTAGGGCCCGGGACCACTTGGGTGTTGCAATTTATGGACCTTGAGGCTCTCCGTGGGGCATACCGGGAGAGGCGGTCCCGTAGGTACGAGGGTCCTAGGCCTTGAAGGGCTTTAAAGGTCAAAAGCAGCACCTTAAATCTGACCCTGTACTCCACCGGGAGCCAGTGCAGCTGGAAAAGCACTGGGTGAATATGCTCCCCTGGCAGAGACCCCGTGAGGAGCCTCGCTGCAGTATTCTGCACCCGCTGGAGCTTCTGGGACAGCTTCAAGGGCAGCCCCGCGTAGAGCGAATTACAGTAGTCAAGCCTGGAGATGACCGTTGCATGGATCACTGTGGCCAGGTCGGGGCGGGAAAGGTAAGGGACCAACTGCTTGATGCGGCGAAGGTGGAAAAATGTCGCCTTGGCTGTTGCTGTAACCTGCACCTCCATGGAAAGGGAGGCGTCAAGGATTACACCCAAACTCTTAACGGAAGGCAATGGCACTAATTGGGCCCCTGCAAGAGAATGGAGTTGGTCCCTCATCCCCATGCCATCCCGACCCAGCCATAGGACCTCTGTCTTTGAAGGATTTAGTTTCAATCGGCTCCCACGAAACCATCTAGCCACAGCTTCCAAGCATCTGGTCAGTGTGTTCGGGGCCGAGTCGGTGTGGCCATCCATCAGCAGATAGAGCTGAGTGTCATCAGCATATTGGTGACAGCCCAGCCCAAAGCTCCGGATAATCTGGGCAAGGGGGTGCATAAAGATGTTAAAAAGCATTGGGGAGAGGATTGTGCCCTGCGGCACTCCACACACCAAGGAGTGGCGCGACGACATTTCCCTCCCTAGTGCCACCCTCTGTCCCCGACCAGAGATAAAAGAGCACAGCCAGTTACGGGCTATGCCATGTATCCCCACGTCTGCGAGACGGTGGTCCAGAAGATCATGATCAACCATGTCAAAGGCTGCTGACAAATCTAAAAGGATCACCAGTCCAGACCCGCCTCGATCCAGCTGTCTACGGAGATCGTCTGTTAGGGCAACCAGAGCCGTCTCGGTCCCAAAACCAGGACGGAAACCGGACTGAAATGGATCTAAAGCCGATGTTTCCTCCAGAAACCTACCAAGCTGTTCAGCAACCGCTCTCTCAGTTACCTTACCCAGATATGAAAGATTTGAAACTGGGCGGTAATTGGATAGGTCTAAGGGATCTTATGAAGTTTTCTTTAAGAGTGCTTCCTTCAGTTCCCCTGGGAATGTCCCCGTGTCAAGGGACAAATTGATAATTTCAACCAGGGGGGTCCGCGCAACATCTGGACACTCCCTAATCAGCCAAGACGGGCACGGATCAAGGAGGCAGGTGGTGGGCCTACTAACTTGGAGGAATCTATCCACATCAGCAGGGAGTATTCGATCGAAATGGTCCAACACTGGACCTGAAGTCAGTTGAGGGGCCTCCAGTTCAGTCACTGTATCTAAATTGGCAGGGAGGTCATGGCGGAGCAACAGGACTTTCTCGGCAAAAAAGCTCGCGAATGCCTCACAGCTGTGGGTCGAATTTGTGCTTAAATTTGGTTGTCCTCCTAAGGACGTTATCGACCTAATTATTCTAAAAAGTTGTGTCGGGTGAGAGCTAGCAGATACAATGGAAGCTGCAAAGTAAGATTTCTTAGCAGCTTTCATAGCCATCTCATAAGCTTTCATAAGCGTCCTATAAGATGTTCTTGAGGCTCTGTCATGAGTCCGTCGCCATACTCGCTCTAGCCGTCTGAGATCCCGCTTCATTTTCCGGAGCTCCTCAGTAAACCAAGGGGCCCAGTTTCGACGGGGTCGCAGAGGGCGCTTAGGCACGATCTCATCAATGGCTGCCAAGAGCCGGTTACTCCAGTCCTCAGCAAGGTCATCTAATGAGTCGCCAGGAGGAGCAGGGTTCCGCAAGGCTTGTCGGAATCTATCAGGATCCATCAGTTTTCGCGGACGAGCCCAAATAGGTTCGCCACCCGAGCCGGGGAGGAGTGGGAAGTCAATCTTGGCTTTCAGAGCGTAGTGATCAGACCATGGCACTTCCACAGCAGGGAGCATGATCACATCTATGCCAGCCCCAAAGATCAGATCCAGCATGTGGCCTGCTTGATGAGTGGGGCCCAAAACAAACTGGGAGAGCCCTAGTGTTGCCATGGAAGTCACTAGGTCCAGAGCCTGTGAGGAGGGAGCAGCATCGGCATGGACGTTGAAGTCTCCCAAAACCAGTAGGCCTGGGAACTCCAAGGCCCAGCCGGCCACCACCTCCAGCAGGTCTGACAGGGTGGCTGCCGGTGTGCTGGGTGGTCAGTACACCAGCCAGACAGCCAAGCTCTCCTTGGTGCCCCACACGAGACCAACACATTCAATGCCGGAGATCGCCGGTGATGGCAGAGCTCTGAAAGAGCAATCCTCCCGGATTAACAACGCTACTCCTCCCCCCCGACCCACAGACCGCGATTGATGGAGGACAGAGAAACCTGGGGGTGTTATCTCATGTAGGGAGACTACTTCGCCTTCCCGTACCCAGGTCTCCGTCACGCAAGCCAGGTCAATTCCCTGCGAGACAAAAAAGTCACGCATGGTGGCGGTTTTGTTGCCTATGGACCTGGCATTGCACAGCACTAATGACGGAGGTGGGTAATCCTTGCTCTCCCTACTCTCATCCCTTTAGATGGGGCGTAGATTGGAAGGGGTTCGAGGATCACTGCATCTCGAAACCCTTCGCCGATAGAGATTTCTAGCCCCACTGCCATTCCTCCCTAGCCCTTCAATAGTGGAAATCCCAGACCCCATACTAGCCTCCCCAATAGCGGGGTAACATCCCCTCAATAACAAATCACCCTTGGGCCAGGACTCCTGGGTCAAAATGGTATGGGGAAGAGGTGGAGGTTTGATAGGGTAAGTATCCCTAGAAGATAAAACCCAACCAACCGCACCCCAAGTGGGGAGGACAGTCTCATGGTGTTTCGTTAACTGTCAACCCCCCTCTCCCTCCTGGGTTGATTCGAGGATTGTTGGTTCTATCTGTGGCTGTGGGAATATTAATGAGGTATGTGGTATAAAATGTGGATCACTGGCTAACAAAGAGCCAGCTTCGAATACGGAAGATCTGTCCATCCTGTCTCGCCAATGCGAGTCCTGAGCCTCGAAAGCATGAGTCCGAGAGGTTTTCCACTTGTCTCATGCTTTCTAGGCACAGGTCTGAGCAGTTTTGCCTTTGCCCTGCCACTTTCCCCAGGAAAACCCGCTCTTCAGTGATAAACTGGAACAAACAGCAATCTGCAGAAAACCTCATTGCTATTTGCTCAGATTCAGGGCTAAACTGCAGGTTTTTCCAGGGGAAAATGACGAGACAGACAGTGTGGATGAGCCCTGATATCATACAGACAGATGAGAAGGTTTTCAAAATCATAAAACAAATCTCTCTAAACCCCCATAGACTCAGTCACCAAACAAATGCCCCCCAATACCTTCAACTGCTTCAGAAGGGTGAGGGGAGAGTCTCCATCAGGCAAGGCCTCCTTCCGCCTGCCTTGCCTTACCCTCTAGTCTCTGCTTCTCAATTTGTATTGTATCATTTTATGCACTGTGGCTTGCCGTTGTTTTATTGATTATATTTTAGAAATTATTTATTGTAACTGTGGAGTGGATTTCTGTTTAGCTTTTATATGTTATTATTATTTAATACTTTTCTAATGATTGTTGAATGTTACTTTTTTGATGTAGGTTGCCTATTTTAAAGTTTTATTATCACATTTTTGTATTGCATTAGATTGTCATAAGTTGTACATTTTTTGTTTCTTCAGCTTGTAAACCGCCTTGAGTATTGTAAGATAGAAAGGCGGTATACAAATTAAAAGATGATGGTGATGATGATGAAAATGAACACTTCTAGGTCTGGGAGAAAGGTCTTTTGCTTGATGCCAAAAAGATGTCTGTGTTGGCACCACTTCATCAGGATTCCTACAGAAGGCATTTCATAGGTGGAGGACAAGGCCTGTCCTCTTGTAGCCAGTTTCTGAATTGCTACCAAAATGAAGGGCTTCTGAAAATGACAATTTAGTCAACTTAGTCACTTTACACAGAGGATGACCTCAGATGTTCCACAAGATCTTGGTCCTTAGCTGTACAAATCAGAAGTTTGAGTTGGACCCACAAATGAATTGGCAGCTGATGCAATTGAACTAGAATCGGATGTTATGTACTCAAATCATGTGGCCTGTTAGGAATCTTCTCACTGAATTCTGCACCAGCTGTAGTCCCTGAATAATCTTCAGAGGCAGCCCCTCATACAACGCATTGTTGTAATCCATCCTAAAGGTTGCCAAGGCATAAGCAACGGAAGTCACTTGTTCAGAGTGCTTCCTAATGGCTGCCATTACCTGGCTTTCTCCTCATGTATTCAGTTTTCTGGATTTTCATTTTCCCTCCAAGGTCCATAATATTCTGCTTCTCAGTGTGAGAGGCTGTCGGGAGCAGTCGGTGATATACTTGAGTAGTGTACCCTATTCACTATTTAGGTAAGGGGAAGCATTGGAAAGAGTAAATAGGACAGAAACATGACAGGGAAAATGTTGCCCTATGGCAGTGCAGTTCAGAGGCCCCGGCTTTGTTTTGGAATGCGGTGGTTATGGTTAAATATTTTTTAAATTGGTGGAATACAATTTCAAACTGATATAAGTTGGTGAGATATGAAACCATCTTTAATTAGGAGGAGATACTGATAGCAAAGGAGTAGGGTGGCTCCAACATCCTCACACTTCTCAGGTTGCACCGCGTAGCCTCTTGTTAAGTTGGCATGTGCTAATCTCACTGGCTAAGTACACTGGGAGCCCCTGGAGGAGTCTGTGTCCATTCTGCTCTTCTTGAGCATGTGGCTGTCTCTTTGCTTTAGGCAAGCCCGGTTGGCAAGCTCCACTCTCTGTTTATGAAGGGAGTCCCATGTGAGGGGCCTTTTTCATGTTTGAATTGAAAGCTGCCTTTGAACTCCACGTTACTCTGCAGGGAATTGTCTCTTTCACCTAAAAGGCACCATGGGAGAGCTTTCTATGGGAAAACGTCTTTGGGCTGTTGTGGTGACCAGACGTTAGCCACACCCTGCTTTTCAAGCAACATCCAGCCTCTTATTTTGCAGTACACGAATCTGTGGCTAGGGCAATGTCCCACCTGCAAGATGATGTTCTTAAAAGTTGCTGAAGGTTTTCAATGACTAGCTCTCCAGTGGCTGGGATGGGGGGATGTTGGGGCAGCAAAAAGTCAAGCATGAGAATGGAGGTTGCTGCTGTCCATCCTCTTTGATGGGCTTCCCTTCTTATGGCTCACCCACACTTCTGCCTGTCCCCTGCCTAGAAAGTACAGGGCCATGTGTGCTTTTTGTTTGGCCTGCCACTTTCCCTGGGAAAACCCGCTGTTTACTGCTAAATCTGAACAAACCTCAATCTGCAGAAAAATCAATGGGCGTTTGTTCCGATTCAGCAGTAAACAGCAGCTTCCCCTGAGGGAAAGTGGCGGAAGAAGCAGAAATGTGGACAAGACTTCAATGTCAAGAAGATGGCAGTTTATTTCAGGTGGGCTGGATATTTAAACAGACGCAAATGCTGTCCCAAACCAGTACATACAAAGTTGAGAATTGGAGGTCGTTTAGGTAACCAGTGCTGAATAGTTTTTGGTTTAGACAAAATACTTGCAGGCCACTGGAGTGCCTCCTTTCAGTTTCTGCTATGGGGTGTGAGAGTAGCTGATTGGCCAGAATGTGAGGAAATGGGTGTGGTCTGCTGGGGGCACCCAGTGCACTCTGGGTGGTGGCTGCTTCTGAAATGCTGAACGTGGCCACAGAGCCTGAAAGACAAATGTTGCCCCATCACAATAGAGGCTCCAGGCATCTTTCCATGGCGTTGATTCATGAGCCTTGGGTTGCTGGTGTGTGTGCTCTGACCAAGAAACCATGGGGGGGGGGGAGGTCCTGAGCCAGATTGCGAGGGAGGCTGGGTGGTTGTGTTCATCTTTTGCCCTCTTGGTCATCCTATTCAGAACTGCTTTCGCCGCACCTTCTGTTTGCACTGGGTAGAAAGCTTCTCTGGGGGGACATTTCTGATGGGAGCAAAGGACTAAAACTCCCTTCCTCCATGGCCATGGCCCCAATACAGCCACCAAAAGGCTATACATACAATGTGACAAATCATCACACACAGCTTCTCCTTTAGCTTTGCCTGTTGAGCACGAAAGAACTGTGGCCTCCTTTTGTGTGTGCAGATGTTGGCCTCTGCCTGGAGGGACAGCCTCTGCTTTTCCACTGATGCCTGAAGGTGGACGTGCGAGAGCCAGTAAAGAGCTCCTTCCTCTGTGCCCTTCTCTGCATTGTAAGCCTGTGGGAAGTATCGGGTTTTCTTCTTTTTCCTTTTGGCTGGTAAATGGAAGAGCAGCAGCTGTGCCTTTTTGGCTCTGGGTGCCTGTATGTGTGATGGGGATGAGGTCAGCCACTGCTGGTTTGGGTGCAAATGTAGCCTGTCTTCATGGCACCCTCCCTTTCTTCAGCGTCACAGGCTCTTCCTTTCCAGACCTTGTCAGTCCTCCTCGGTGGAGTCAGTGAGGTTGCCTCCCACCTTTGCCTCCTCCATGCAGTGTCTCCAGCAGGAGAAATTCGCTGTTCGCCCTTCCACCGCTGTTAGGCCAGCTTCCACTCTGGGTGGAAATACAAACCAAAACGACTTAGTAGGAACATACTCCCAAGGTGTCTTAGTTTCCAGCAGGTCCCTGCTATCTGCTGGTATCTGGTTTTCTCGGCAAAAGCCAAGGGTCAGCAGCTCCTTTCCAGCTTTTGGAGCCTGAGAAGCAAAACAAACATCCTTGCAACATGGCCTGATACATGCTCTCTTTAGAATCTCAGGCAGCACCTCCATTAATCATCCTGTCGGTGAAGGAAGAGCCTTTGAAGATTAGAGGACACTTGCCAGGGCTGACAAGAGCTGCTGCAGGAAGGGCCAGGCACAGAGGAGACGGCATTAAGGATAAATGGGCTCCTTCCCAATGCAAGTGTGTGCATTCATGTGGAGGGGGGGATCCCACCCAGGTTTCCCTCCCTCTCCCGTCTCCATAGTGAGTGATGATGACTGCTAATACTTCAATGACTGGAGCAGGGGAGAATGTCCCACTATGCATCACCACAGCGTCTGCTAAAGAGCCTTTTGCTTTCTCTAGAAAAAGTGGTTTTTGCAGAGTGAGTGGCATGGCTATAAAAATGCTTCTTCCTGGCCTTTGGAGTGCAGCCAGTTCCTAGGCAAGCCAAGTGTCTCATGCCATGATGCTACTGTTTCAGATGTGTCTCTCGTTGTGGGCTTAAGACATGCTGAGCATACGGGAGGATCAGAAACCCAGATTTTGAAGCATGCACTTACTTAGGAGCTGTGTGTGCCTCCTTGAGCACTGGCCAGAGGTGCAGCAAAAGCATCTCCATCCAGCAGCGGGAGGCTGAACAACTGGAGGGGGGAAATGACCCATGCAAAATGGTTTTGAATGGCTACAAGTCACGCTGACTGTATGCCACCTCCAAGAGTCATGGTCTGCCTCTGAAGACCAGTCGCTGAGGAACATGCGGGGGGCTGGGCTGTTGCACTGCTGTCCTGCTTGTGGGCTTCTCAGAGGCCTCTGGGTGGCTGCTGTAGGAGCAGAAGGTTGGGCTCCTTGGGCCTTGAGTCCATTCCTTCAGGGAGGGAGGGAGGAGAGCCTCTTGGAAGGAGCTTGTGGGAAGGAATGTAGTTTCTGCTGCTGTTGTAAATGGAGAGGAGTGTAAGCTTCTGCTTCCAGTTTTAAAAATGGTGTGGTCATTTCAGAAAGTGCTGTGTGGGACAGTGGTGGGTGCGCATGGCGCATCTCCTTTGCCTGGCATTGACCGTGACCCCTTTGCGGATGAGCCTTTCTGTTCAGTTGCAAGAGCAGATTGCTCCATTGGTGTGAAAGGCAGCGTGTAGCTTGTGTCGGTGTTCTGTCCTCTGAGTATTCTGTGGTGTGCACAGATGCACAGTTAGGTGTCCAAACCAATATGTCAAACTGTCACGGGGGAGACTTAGTGAAAAAGATCTTGTCCTAAGGCAGTAATTTTAATAGCGAGATGCAGCAGCAGCAGCAACAGCAGCAGCAGCCCTGGAAGCCACTCCCACTGGGGAGCGCTTGGCCTTGTGCACCAAAGCGCATGACGGGGGGGAGGAGGAGGAGGAGGGAGTCTCCCAGAAGATGGGGCTTGAGCCTTCAGCCTTAACCTTAATCAAGGAGCTTCACGGTTGGCTGGCCACAGAGGGCCGAGTGCCATCGGCCAGCCCCACGCTGGGCTGGGAGGATGCAACTCTGGCTCAGCCGACGACTGCGTGTAGCTGCAGGGCTTTGTCAGAGCCTTCTGAGAGGTGCAAGGGATGAGCCTTGAGGCAGGTCTCTTCCTCCTGCGAGAGCAAATTGACAGCGCTGGATGGCCAGACCTTGACCAGGCTCACAGTTGCTCCTTGGTTGTGTGTGTGTGCATGCGCCTGTGCTTCTGCCGCCTCCCCCCCCCCCCCATTGCTTCGGAAGAAAGAGACGGCTTCTGGCCTTCCTGCCATGTCTCCTGTTGCCTTCATTAAGCTGCTGGTAGGCTCATAATTCAACATTCCTTGCAGGTGGTGATGTGTGAGATGCCTTCTTTGCTGGCAGGTGATATTTCTGAGGACTCGTGGCCTTGTGTGCTGCTCCTTCCTGCTCCTTGCAGAAGCAGAAGGATGCGTGTGCCTGAGGCTCCCTCTGAGGGCAGGTGCTCTGAAGAGAGAGGCAAGGTCTGGCTCTCTCCTGCACCCTGTCCAGTTTCCCTCCTGGTAGCGGCAGCACTGCCTCTTGACTGCTGCCACAAAGAGTGCTAAAGCAGAGCCCCCGTCCCCCTCCCCACTGAGCATCCTGGCCAGGGTGTGCCTGGACTCTTTGTCCCCACGTCCTTCTCTGTGCCGCTCTGCCTTGGCAGACCCCACCCTGAGAAGAAAGGGTTTGTGGGCTTGTCTTTGGCCCCACGTTCTTCTTTGCAGCCCCGTGGCCCCAGCATTTCCTTGGCTCCTTGCTTTCCCGCCCCCTGCCTCATTGTTCCGCTTCCTTTGGACTCCCTGATCCTCAGCCAGCGTTCTGGCCCCTCCCTGGAGCTCCCCCTTGCTCCCCCTCTGTGGCTGCCTTCTGGCTTCCTGGAACGTCTTCTCACCTCCCTTTCAGCCTCCTCTGCTGATGCTGCTTGTCTTCACCTGCCTAAGCCTCTGTGAGAGTTTTCTCCAGCCCAGCTGACCTTTCATTCTCTTACAGAAGCTGGCTGTTGGCAGTCTCATGTTTTTAGAAATCTTCACTGAGCATGTCAAAATATCCCTAAGAACGTAGGAAGAATCCTGTTTGGATCAGGCCAAAGGGGGCCCATGTATTCCAATGTCCTGCTTCCCACTCAGCCCCCCTGATGTCTCTTGGGGGGGGGGACCCCTGCCCCGCCCACAAGCAGGATATGAGTGCACTAGGCATCTCCCAGGTTCAGTCCCCAGCAGCTAATATTCAGGGCCTGTGGGAAGGTAATCGTGACTGGTCGTCTTTGCCTCTGATATACCTTGTGTGACATCGCAGCTGCTCAGCTCCTTGCTACTACAGGCATTCCTGCCACAGAACCCTTCAGTGCACTAAACGAGGTGGCAGGGAAAGGAGAGTGCAAGTGCTGTTTAGAAATGCCACAGAGCTGCTTGCTGTGGTGGAGAAGAAGGCAGAGAGGATACTGAGAAGGCCGACAGATGGACCTCCTTCCCCTTTGCCATTGATGTGGCCAGACTTTCATGAGGCCACATTTTTGGTGGGATCTTTGGCTTGAGCGGCACAATCAGTATGGATCCTGTCGCTATAGTCTGCCAGCACTGATGGAGGCAGTTTTGTGTTTATGTGGGACCAAAAGCTCCATGGGAGGATCAGATGGGAGGTTTGCACAATCCCCAGTGAGATCAGGGCATAAGGTTTTTTAATAGCAAAACTTGCTGCTGCCGCCGTTTTCAGCCATCTGGTTAGTGAGTCTGAATAGGCACCCCTAGTTTGTGGATTTCTCTATCAAGGAGGGGAGAGGCCTAGATTTGGTGGAGTGGTGGGATGGAAATATTAAAAGAAAATAGTAAATAATAGCTGCCAGTGTTGAGCAGACTCCAAGGCTTAACCTCCCTATCTCCCATTCTCTGGGAAACCCTCATACAAATATCCACCAAGCCAATTCACTTAAAACCCAAGACAGGATTGTGCCGTCAAATTTGGCACAGTCTGATGTTCTTGTGATCTCCTGAGCTCCAATTAGGACCATGAAGGAAAGGAAGAATGGACTAGATCAGTTGGGGCCCACGTGTGTTCCTTGGCTGTACAACTTGTGCTGATTTGAACTCATCTCTCACTCATGAGACTCGGGCAGGGTGGTATGGTATTTTAAAAGGTACAATATATAATAATGAAAAATGACCTGTATTTATTTAACTTTGTCACCAAGACAGAAGTGTCTGCTTAGAAAACTCTTGCATTGTGCTCAGGCTAATCTCTTCAAGGCTGTAGGGAGCTCTGGAACTGCAAAGCGGCCTTCAAGGGGGTGCTTTCCTGCTTTTTAAATCTGATGACAGTGTGAACTGCTGTGTGTGTGTGTGTGTGTGTGTGTGCGCGCAAAAGAGTCTGCATTTCTAGGCCTGAGTCCAGGCTTTCCAGGTCTGGGTCCAGGAACTTTTATTTTTGCCCTAGTGCTTTCCCTGCAAAAGCCCACTCTTTAGTGGTGAAAACAATTCCACGGAAAACCTGAATTGATTGATTCAGCAATAAATATTGGGTTTTCCTGGGGAAACCAGTGGGGCAAAAAAAAAAAATGGACAAAGAAGGTGTGTGGATGCGCCCTTAGTTTTGATAAAGGGAGGCAGTTCCTAAGCTCCACAGGAACCAGGTTTGTTATTTTAGAGGCTGGATTATGGGGGGAAAACAGCAATAGAAAAAACAGCTTCTTGGGAATCTCAGCTTTTCCTTTCCAAGTTTCTATCCCTTATGGCTAAAAATGTATGCTTGAAATTGTGTGCACAGTCCTTGGGGGAATTCTAGAAGCCAGAAGCCCAAACCTGATGTTACCTATATTATGCAACTGTCACCATTCACATCCGTTCGCCATCTCCCCTGGGAATGTCTAGTTGAAGCTGACATGCAGCGTGATGCCATTGTGTTCAGCTTTTCCCTGCCCTTGCACCACTTAATTGGCTACTGCTGCCTATGTATTTGGATTGGGGGGGGATGCTGAATGCTGAACTCTGCGACATCATGTCATGAGTCTGATTCAGCTGTTGGAAGTTCCCAGGAGAGGTAGGGGCCAATGCAGACTGGCCATCTGCACCAGGGAAAGTCCCATTCGGCCCAAGGTGGCAGCTGCATAAGATTTCCAGTAGTTTGGGGATAGAGGCAAAGACACACACACACACACACACACACCCCGCCGCAAGACAATAAAGCAATAATAAATTATGTAGAGAGAAAACAAAATAAGTTATGCAAAGTAAGAGAAATTTACTCTTTCCTTGGCACAGAGTTTGGTTTTTCTGGGTGTGGCAGTTGCCATTGTTTGTGTGGTGAGTGTGCAGCCTGTGGCTTAGGGTGACATTCATTATTTGGAACCCCAAGAGACTTTGGATTTCCCATCTTGAGGGGAGAATAGAGGCAGGGCAGGACCTGCAGTTGCTTTCAAAGGCAACCTGGGATGCAGGCAGCTTCTTTCTCGTGACCATGTGCTCCAGGTAGGGATAAGGGAGAAATCTGATTGGTTTGCATTTAAAGTTTGATCTGTGGAACTGCTACTGTTACAGATGCAACGTAATGCTCATTCTGCACTTGCAATAAATCAATCTTTTACTGTGGCAGCACCTACACTTTAGAACTCCCTGCCTGCTTAGAGGCATGTGTCTTTGCTGCATTCTTTCAGACCCTGCTTAAAACCTTTTTGTTTAGTCAAGCCTATCCAGACATGTAGTTAAATGCATTTTGTCTTTCTTTACCTATTGCAGATTTTAAACGCTTTCATACATGCTTGTTTAAAACTTCTTCTCTTTTTACTGAGAATTTTAATATTTTATTTATATTATAATAAACTGCTTAAAGGGGTTTCCCCTGCACAATCAAGCGGCATATAAATTATGTTGTTAAAATAAAGGTGAACCTACCTACCAAATTCACATGAAACAGCCATCCTTTTACATCCACACTTCTCCAAATTTTGCAATGCAGTTCTCTGGTCAAGTAATGTGAACAAAAATGAGTAATGCTAGCCTGCGTAGGAATGCATGTATTAGTGAAAATGGCTTTGCAGAAATATACATATGGTAAAATTCCATACAAACATTAGCAGAAATCCACTGATGAATTTTCATGAGGACTTTTTTTTAAAAAGCAAACTAATGAGAAAATATGGAGAAATGGACAAATTAGAAAGTGAAATTGGCAGATTTGCCCATCCCTCATTCCCAGTACCGTCTGAGTTTGGTCTTCAGGGCAGGGGTGGTGGTGGATTAGGCTGGGTGGGGAGCGGATGGGCACCCGTGTTTCTGCTTCTCTCTCACCCAGAAAGTGCCGTAATTCATCACTGCTAGCATAGCCTTTTGCATAATAATGCCAGGTTGTGAAATGTTTGCTTTTTACTTTGATACCTTCAGGGTTTGCTGCCTTGAGATATGGGTATTATTGTCAGGTGTGTAACTTCCTGCATTTATGCAGCAAGGTTCTGCTTAGCCTTTTGTCCCTAAAACTAAAGAAATCTGAATCACTTGCACTGTATCTTTAATCTCTTTATTAAACTTCCTTTAATAAAGAGATTAAAGATACAGTGCAAGTGATTCAGATTTCTTTAGTTTTAGGGACAAAAGGCTAAGCAGAACCTTGCTGCATAAATGCAGCTTCTGATTTATTTGATTTCTATAAATTTCTATAGCACTGTACCAAATGATGCACAGCTTGGGGCGACAGAACAACTCCTGTGGACCCTTTGGCTCCCTCCCTCCCACTCCTGCCACATTCCCCTTCCACCCTTCCTTCCTGACAGATGTCATTGACTCCCCTCCTCCTCCTCCCACATTCCTTTCCCTTCTTCTTCCGAGAACATCCCAACTGCTTGAGGCTGCCATCAGAAGCCTGAGAACATTGTGCATTGAGTTATTTCTGTTGCTGCTGCTGCTGCTGCTGCTACACTGAGCTGACCATAACCTCTCTGTCTACCCTCTGCAGCCCACGACCTCCCCTCAAGCAAGTCCTCGGCCGCGGCACAGAGTGGCAGCCATTTGCAGTGCCTTTCTGTCCACTGCACGGACGACATGGGCGAAGCGAAGGGCCGGACTGCGGTGCCAACGTGGAGATCCCTGCACTCGGACATCTCTAACAGATTTGGGACTTTTGTGGCTGCCCTGACTTGAAGAAGAAGTGGGGGGGGGGGAGGATCTTATCTTTTCTTTTCTTTTCTTTCTTTTTTTGTTTAAAGGGCCACTCCTGCGAGTCGGACTCTTTTTCTAGGTTGGTACCTGCTTAGCGGCATAGAGACTGGAAAGGGTTAATTTAAAATAAAGCTCACCTTGATTTTTTAAAAAACATCTCTCACCATGGTATGTTCCTACTGCTAACCCATCTGTAAGATGCGTCTGCCTGAAAGATGGGTGCCCACCCACAGGAGGACTGATCTTGGCTGCCTGGCTAGCTGAGGCCTTCCTTGTCTCTCGGTATGTTGTGATGAGGCAAGACGGTTTTACTTTGTACACATTCCCCTGCCATGCTTTGTTCTGTCCTGATTAAAATGCTCCTCAAAGTGAAATTGCCACCCTAAAGCCACCGAATGGATGATGAGCTTTTGTGTATCTCCTGCAAGCCAAATCTGTAATGCTCAGTCCAGGATTCGGCCTGTGCTGTTTCTTTCCAGAGAGCGAAACTAGGAGGAGAGGGGGAAGGGGGGATGCAAGCTGTTCCCCCCCCCCCATTCCTGCTGCCTGTCTGCTTTTTTGTCACAGAGTCTCATCCCCATTCTTCTTGGAGCAGCCAGAGGGCCAGGCAGAGCCACTTGCCCAAGCAGGGGACAGAGCTGTGTGTCTCCGTGGCAGCTTCCCTCCAAGGGCACCGATTCTCACCCAAGGCCTGTGAGCAAGCAGAGGGTGCTTTTCCTTCTTCCTCGCTCCTGATGCTGCCGGCCACCTTGGGGAGGGACAGAGTTTGTCTCGGCTGGGCTCAGTGTTGTTCCTGGTTATGTGACAAGTGTATGCTTCCTTACAGGCTTGCATTGCTAAAGCAATTGAAACAGGGATTTATTAAAATTCATTTTAAAAACCTATTGTCATCCTGTGGAACTGGGCTGAGGCAGCTGAGGGCAGGAGTGGCTGCTGAATCCTTCGGGCTCTTCTAGGGCAGGGCTAAGCTGTGACCCTGTGGCAGAGCCGAAAAGCTGGGCAGGCCCCACTCTCTACCGTGCTGCTGGAAAGTGCTAGTTTCATTGGTGGTTCCCCCCCCCCCCACGTCTCTGTCCAATGAAACTAGCATTTGCTGGAATCCACTGGCCATCATCATTTGGGGCAGATTTAGCACAGGCCAACCAACCATTGGCTGGAGTCTAATGGAGCCCCCGGTTTTTCAAGGAGTGTTTCAGAGCAGCGCATCCTGTGCCATTAACCCAGGGAACCCTAAAAAGAGATGTCACGCAAGTCGTTTCCCTCCCATCACTTTTAAGTAGCATTGGCACTACTGAGTGGCTTTTTCCAGTCCCTCTGCCTCTAGGGTTTGAGCAACGCCAGCGCAAGACATTCTGCCCCCTGAGGCAAAGGGGCTTTTGAAAGAAGAAGGTAGTCTGAGGTTCTGCAGAACCTCCCGGCTGACCATGCCTTGGTCTGGTGAAGAATCCTGGGGAACCTAGGTAATTTGGCAGACTGGGGCATTTGGGACCAGGGGATCCAAATATTTTCTGTGCCTCTGCCATTTTCCAGTGTCCAAAAATAGCTCTTAAATTTTAAGAGTAGCACAAGCGCTCTCTGGGGCCACCTCACTAGAATATGTCACTGCAGAAGGACCTTGCTCAGAGCAAGGCCTGGGTGGTCCAGTGCCACCAGCAAGTCCTGTGGGAGCACTGCTGGTCCATTTGCTCCTGGGGCACTAGGTGGTGGGCATGTGCAGAGCAGACTGCCATAGGGTGTGCACATTTGCCACCCCTCCCAGTCCACTGCCTGAGGCAACAGTTGCTGGGTGGTTAACAAATGGACTGGCCTTATTTGGGCAAGTGTGTGTGAGAGAGAATTTGGAAAGGCCCTTAGAAAATGCCAAAAATGTGTTGGTAAGGCCACATGAGATTTAGAAAGCTGTTTGAGTGATGTGGGTGTCTGCCACAGTCTGCAGTTCCTTTTGTGATCCAGTTCCTGCTGCTTCCATCTGTGCACTTCAAGGGCTCTCCTGTCTGTCTGTGCCTCCCACCCTCCTCTCTCTCTCTCATGCCCACATGAGACCCCTTCTCCCCTCCCATGGCGCTAATACTCCATGGGCCAGAAGAGGCAGGCTGAGCACGATTCGCAGGCTGAACACATTTTGGATTCAGAAGGGTTAATTCCATAGCCAGCTTTAAAGCAGGGTGCCTGTTGTTTTAGCTACTTGAAGCTGTATGGGCAAGTGGTCACTGGCTGGCATTGCCTTGATTCTCTGAAGGGAGGATCACAGCAAAGGGAAACCCTAAGGTGTCAAGGACTTGTTGGTCTTCAGATCAGCCGTCCCCAGAAAGAGCCTGTTAGCTTCCACCTGTCTGGGCCATTGCTTTTCAGGCACAGGCTGTTGCTGCAGCTTGATCTCCTCCCAAGCCCTTGGGGGGCCCCCAACCATAATACTGTAAAGCCGTGTAAATGGTGAGGTAATGTGGATGGAAAGTTGTGGAGTGGGAAGGCACCTCCTCTGCCTGCTTTTGGGCAGGGTGTATTGCATCTAGGAAGCAGCAGTCCCCAGCAAGTCTATGTTCTTTGCTGTTGGCCTTTCCTGGGATGAAGGAAAGGCCCTTTTGGGCTCTGGGCAAGGCAGTTCTTTCAACCTTGGCCTCACTGACTGCATTTTCCTAACTTTCTGTTCTTCTTCTGGTTAGTTTCCTTTAACTGGAGGAGGCCGCCTCCTCTTTCTTAAACCCAAGAAATTCAAATGAAGGCATTTTAAATGTCTACTCAGATTTGTGTGAAATTATTTTCATGTAGCTAAAGCTAGATTTTACATTTTCTTCTTTTCTCCCTGCGAGATTTGCAACTCCAGGCCAGCCAGAGAGTCTTTGGTCCCTTCCACATGACCTGTTCACTGAGCATTCGTTCTGACTTGTGTCCAGGATGGGAAATGGACATGGTGTCATCCAGCAATCATCCCATGCTCTCCTGTGTCTTTGGCCATCATGCTCCTTCTCCTGAAAAGTCTGGTTTTAAGGGAATTTGTGGGAATTTGTTTGTGACTGAATCCCCCTCCCCCTCTGTTGCAGGAGGCAGATCAAAACACTGCCTACAGGAATGAACTTGTCCCTCCTTGCTGCAGGCACATTGAAGAGAAGGAAGCAAGGCCTGCTGGGCAGGAGATCTGCTACTCAGAAGGGCTTGGGTTTCCACCCTTTGGCGCCTGCCACCTCTGGGCGATGGGCCTGGGGAGCAGAGCTGGAGGAGCCTCCCCCCCCCCCCGAGACCATGCAGATGAGCTGCTGCCTGGAGTCCCAGTCTAGGAGCACTGTTGGCCTGGGGACATTCCCATCAAACCACAAAAGATTATTTTAAACAACATTAATTTGTTTTCTTTTTAAAATTATGCTTTCTTGAACAATCAACACAACTGAAATTTTAAGTGTTTAAAGAATACGAAAATTATTAAAGAATAAGAAATTAATAATGATAACAAAACAGGAACTTTAAAAACCATCCAGTAGATTAAACTCTCATTCAGGCAATTTGGTGGGGGGGAGAAAGTTTCCAAATTGAAATCTTTTTCATTGCCAGAAAGTACTTTTGCAGCTAAGTAAATGGATCTCAGCAAACCCCTGCTGACAGCTTCCTGTTTGGTACCCACCCCATGCAAGTTGGAAATCACAAGAAACTGGCTGTAGACCCTCGTATTGGGGAGAGATGGCTGATAGGTTGCTTGCCCTAATTGGCACTTGGGCAGGGAGGATAGTCTGCTTTCATGGCAGCCAGAAAATCCTCTCCAAAGCTGGATGCTCCACCGACCAGCCTGGCTGTTCCTTCTGAAAAGCAGGGCTTCTGTCAGAACCGTAATCAGGTTAATTTGCTCTGACATTGGTCTGAGTCTCTGCACACGCAGAACCCTCTTTCCTTGAATTCTTAGATTTCACCTCACTTCAATAGGAAGTCCGGAACTGTTCAGCAGAATTATTTCTCTTACGATGAAAACTGACCTACAATAAACCAGAAACATTGGACAACTCATTTCTGCAGAGAGATTCTAAGATGAAATTTCAGGGGACTCCCACTTTGCTGCTTTGTCTGTGTTCACCACCCCTAAAACAACTGCAGCTTTAAAAACGGTTTTTAAAGACAAAATGATGCTATTACTTTGTATTGAATCTACTTCCTTAAAAAGAAATCCCTTCCCCAATCCCTGACAAATCCTTACTGCATAGCAAATTCAGCCTGACAAACATTATTGCACATGTAAGATATGAATGTGGAGGGCAATCTGTAATCTACCCTTTCCCCTCCCTCCTCTCGCCCCCCTCCCCTTTCTGGAATTTTTGTTTAAATTCATTTCTCAATGCTTGGTTGGAAGACTGTGACAAAAGCTCATGAAAAGTGAGTGTTATTTTTTCTTTTTTTAAATATGTAAAGTGCAGTCTTCTGTATTCATGCATATTGTATATATCTGTATATGTTTTACTGAGCAACTAAATAACAATAAATATGATGTTAATGGTGACTATTGGATATTTTTGCCTTAAATTGTGTATATCTTCTCTCCTCCTCCTCCGATGTTTTGGAGTGCTGCAGGGAGCGTGTTTCTTTGTCCTCTTCTCTGCTTGTTGGCTAGCTTTGCCAAAAGAGAGGGGCAAGGGCAACATGCGCTCGCTTATCCAGAAGGGCTGCGGTGGTCTGGCCAAAGCTCATCTCTGCCTCTTGTGGCCCACAAGGGGGGTGGGGCCCTCCTCCCTCCCAGCTGTAACATGTCAACACCCTTTCATAATGTGCTTGTTTGAGACCAAATGTTTCCAGCTTCTCCTCTCTAAAGGGGGCACCCCCTCTCTTTTTCACTGCCACCCACATCTGTGCCAATCAAGGAATGCCATTTTGATGATTTTAACCTTTTCTTTCCGCAGATCTCCAAGAGTTATAGCGATGCCATTGCTGTTAGCATAGCAGGCGGGCCAAATAAAGTAAAATCTGCAGGGCAGGTGTTTGCAGATACTGGGATCCATTGAGATCAAAGCGGTGAGGCAGAGTGGGAGCAGGAAAGTAGAGATAAGACGTGTCTCCGATGGTTTCTCTTGCAGCAGCACCCGCATCCCTCCTAGATCAGACTAAAGGCGTGTCCAGCCTCCCCTTCCCTACAGTGGTCAAGCACATGCTGCCAGCAAACCTACAGACAAGACATGAGCGCTATCGCCCCCTTGGGCCTGATCCAGCAGGCCTTTCTTCTGTTCTGGAAGTAGCGCACAGCAGTCACAACTGTAGCCTTGGAGAGGCTTATTGCCCATGAAGTTGTCTAATTGCCCTTTGAAAAGCCAACTTAAGTTGGTAGCCACCATTACAAAGCAAGCAGGTTCCATCATACTTCCTCTCAGTCTTGAATATCCCTCCACATACTTTCATGGGATGACCTCAGCTTCTAGTATTGGGATGGAGAAACCCAAAATGTCTCCATCCACCTTCTCCACACTATGCATTGCTTTATGGACCTCTATCACGTGCCCCCTTCGTTGCCTTTGAGGAAAGAAACAAAAAACTAAAAAATGTTGTTGCTTTTGCTGCTGTCTTGGACCAGGAGGATCTCCAAAATGCCTGATTCAGTTGGACAGGCTCCTCTCTGGAGGAGAGGAGGACAAAAGAGGCCCTTTTGTCTGGGCTATTTGGCCTCTTTAGCCTTTATTAGAAGACCTAGAACCTCTTTAGTACAGTGTGTTTGATAAAGGGTGGAACTCCTTTTAATATGCAGTAACTAGCAAAATGCAGACATTGTGTAAATTTGGGGGCTAAGGGCTAATCCTTTTGTTTTCCTCCTGAAAAACCTGTGGGATTTCCGCGGATTGACGTTTGTGCCAATTTAGCACTAGAGAGCAGGTTTTCCATGGACAGTGGCACGGCAAAGGGGAAACTGCTCAGACAGGTGCTTTCTAGCAATGGGACAAGCAGAAGTGTGGCTGAGCCCTGAGTCTGTCTACAATTTTCCTCACATCCCTCCAAGTCCCAACCAGTTTTGGAGGCAATCCAGGCAGGCATGTCAGTGGGATGGATGGGGTCCAGTGGCTTGATAGGCATGCAGGTCATGATCTGCACGGATCAGCGGAGGAGAAGGCCCTCTGTCTCTGTGTGAACACCTGCCAGCGAGTGAGCCAGCTGGTGTGAGGGGGCCTGGATTGAAACATTTTAAAAAGAAATGCCCCATGGAAATCTCCCCCTAATAGTTGGGAAGAGCAGGTTTGCTCTCTGCCTGTTTGGTCCCCTGTTTCACGTGCTGCTAACTCAGGATGGGCATCTAGTCTCCTTCCTCCCAGGGGCATAGGTAAAGGGACCCCTGACCATAAGGTCCAGTCACGGACGACTCTGGGGTTGCGGCGCTCATCTCGCTTTATTGGCTGAGGGAGCCGGCGTACAGCTTCCAGGTCATGTGGCCAGCATGACTAAGCATGGCAAACCAGAGCAGCGCACGGAAACGCCGTTTACCTTCCCGCCGGAGCGGTACCTATTTATCTACTTGCACTTTGACGTGCTTTCGAACTGCTAGGTTGGCAGGAGCAGGGACTGAGCAACAGGAGCTCACCCCGTTGTGGGGATTTGAACCGCTGACCTTCTGATCGGCAAGTCCTAGGCTCTGTGGCTTAACCCACAGCGCCACCAGGATTTATTTTAGGGGGCAGGCTTTGTGTGGAGGGGGCAGAACTGAGTTATCTACAATGCAATTGGATAGTTAAGTGTTTTTATTTATTTAGGGGGGCAGCTGCCCCACCCCCCTGCTACACCCACGCCTCCTCCCTGCCAACTCTCTCTTCTTTGAGTGGGACTGCCTTCCTTCTGCAGAGCGGGGGTCGGGGCAGACAGCTGGCCTTCACACCACCATTGGTCTACTGGGCGGCTGGTGCCTCCATGTTGTTTATGCACAGTCAGGTACATATTGGTGTGTATCTAATGTGGGTCTCCTGAGGGTCCGTTAAGGGCCCTGATGTACTTGTGCCTCCTGTTTGCTGATGGGATGATAATTTCCCTGCCTGCCTTTTTGCAAACAACCCCGGTTTCCCAGTGCACGACCCCTGCCACGGAATCCTACCTTCTGAACAAAAAGTCCCGTATTCCCAGAGAGGCTGTGCTTTGGTGAGGAGCCTGTGGGGATTTAATAGGCTGAGGTTAACTGACACAGAATCTTCTGCTCTGAGGTTGGGGGGGCAGCTGCTCTCCATGCCCTTTTATCCTCTGCAAAATGCACCCCCACCCCACCCCCACCTTTCCCATTATAATGCTGGGATTCTTCTAGCCTGCAAGAAAACTTTGCTGTGTAAATTTGCTCTTTGTGAAGAGCTCTTTGTTTAACCGCATTGTGAGAATTTTCTGGGGACAGAGAGGAGCTCTAGCCCCTGCCCCCCCACTGAATAAAATCCAGCACATTACCACATTCTTCAATAAGTGCAAGGCTGCAGGGAGTTGGACGGCCCTACCCTGCAGCCCTCCTCCTTCTTGGTGGGGCTTTTTTCATTAACCCCCTGCTGCCTAACCCAAACACACAGCAATGTTTTGTTAGCGCCCCAGGACAAGCAGAGGCCTTTTGTGGCTGGAGGAGGGAGCTGGGTCTGGAGGAGGCAGCAGCTACAAAATGCGACCCTGCGTTTTTGAACAAACTGCTTTTGGTGGGCCTGATGAAAATACAAGAGAGGGGCAAAGGCTAGAACTGAGGGGCTCACCAAAGCCAAGTCACAGCTTCTGAATCGCAGCAAAGGGAGGCCCAGGGGTGCAACTTAGGGAGCAAAATGGCTTTCTGCAGAGGTGAACCCAGTGGTCCCATAGGTGGTTGGACCTTGCATTTTTACACTGCTGTACACGCCAGAGAGCGGGCAGGGATGCATTTGCTTAATGTGCACTCCCTGATTCCTCATTCTGTGCCTGAAACCTCCCCCTCACAATGCTTATTCTGTAAAGGTGTCATTTGCACATGTGCTGTTCCCTCCTCAAATGTCCCCAGCGCAGCTTCACCGCAGGATGGAAGCTGCTTTGAGGGAAAACTCATCAAATAGCAGTATTTCTCAAGGATGTACACAATTTGTGTGGATGGGGCTACCTTCATGCATACACTGAGTTTGGTGTGGTGGAGCCGCAGTACAGTGGTACCTCGGGTTACGTACTTAATTCGTTCCGGAGGTCCGTTCTTAACCTGAAACTGTTCTTAACCTGAAGCACCACTTTAGCTAATGGGGCCTCCCACTGCCAGCACGCGATTTCTGTTCATCCTGAAGCAAAGTTCTTAACCCGAGGTACTATTTCTGGGTTAGCGGAGTCTGTAACCTGAAGTGTACGTAACCTGAGGTGCCACTGTAAATGTTTGTGTATACACAGCCTACAAGAATCCATTGGCAGCTGAGGGCTGACTGGGTGAAGACCTGCAGAAGATGGGCAAATTCCCCCTCGGACCATGGCTTGGTCAAGGCGAAATGCCCTTCTCCCTGGTTCAGTCTGCTTTAGGACAAGAAGGATCAATGGCCCCAGCAGTTTTGCTTCTCATAGGAGGGGGCGGGGCACCCTGGGAAGCTGTCAACCAATGAGGAGCCTTATAGCATCACCTGCCTTTCAAGTGCTCACATTTGCACATGTGCTCACAAGGTGCCTTTTTGAGGCAGTGGAGGTGGGAGATCCCTCATCCGCCTTATGGATGAAAGCTTGCCTGTTCCCCATTAGGAGGAGAGGCTGGCTCTCTTTCAGGGACTTAAGAGGAGAGCATTGGGGGGAGTTGTCAGGTGGGCAGAGGGTCCTCTTCCTGTGAGCAATGCATGGCTTCTCTACTTGAGCCACCTGCTTCCTGCCATAAGGGGCTCCAGGCACCAGAATATCCTGGCCTGTGGAGGGTGCATGCCTGGGGTGCACCATTGAGGAAACAGGGTTGCCTGTGCTTGGGGTATGTGCAGAGCACCAGGCGAAGGAATGTTCCCTAAATTGAGGTCCCCATGGAAGACGCATCTGCTCCATCAGATGTGCTCTTCTTAAGGGGGAGGAAGAGGTATGCGAGGCAAGGCTTCTTCCAGGATAGGTGGGGAGCTTGACCCCTCTGTGTCCTCCTGTACAAAGCCCCCTTTTTGCATCTATAGGAGAAGCAAGCAGTGGCCCTTCAGGGCTCCTGATCCCACAGTAGCCCTTTCGCTCTGGCCCAGCTTGGTGCAGAGTCAACAGGGCTCAGCCGCAAGGCTAAACTGGGAACAAGGAACCCTTCCTGGGGGCGGGGGCAGAGAGGCCCTTCCTGGGAGGTGAGGTGGACAGTTTGACCTCTCTCATGTATCCTGGTTCCTTGTGAGGTTCGCCTTCAGGGCTTGAAATATGCAAATATGGGATTCGTTTGAAGTGGAAAGCCACCTGGCCATTTTCATCAGAGAAGGGGGGTCTAAGAGAGGAGTTTAGAAACTCCGTTGTGCTGTGATCCCTGTTCAATTGGTCTGAGACCCCATTTGTAGGTCTCTGGTGTCCTGTCTGCTTCTCGAGAATGCCTTACCTCCAGATCGCAAAACT